TGAAAACTTGCTACAACTGTCCAATGCAGCAGTATGATGTTTGAAAGGATACTTGGAGAATGTGCCTATCTGGATAACGAGCATATTACTTTGTGTTCATGTCTGTATGTCTGTTATATATGCGCGCGCTGGACCAAGTGGCGAGATGTATCAGATTCGACTTCATGAAGCATGAAGCAAAAATACGTGTCAAGGTTGTCAATATGGTTCTAAAATCTGTGTTATCGCAACATGTACACTAGATTGACATCCTGGGTTTCTGGCTTTGCCCAGTAGCCATCAAACGACACGTGCGTATCAAAACATACATGGTGAAACTGACATCCTGGGTTTTTCCGGCTTTGCCCAGTGGCCATCAGACGAAGTTTCCCTGTAATACATGTTTTGTCTTAGAACTCAACGTCAGGTGTTATCTGAAACTCTCAAAGTCTCATTTACTTAACAAAACAATCAAATAACCACATCATAGCAACAAAGAGGCATTTGAGGTCTTTTTCAGCTCCGTTTCTTGTCACGAAAAGGGAAATTACATTGTGCAAACCCTGTTGGTTTTAAGCACCTCGATGTGTACCGAACTCATTTAAATCCAGCTTTTTCTTTGTCAATGTAGGAAATTCCTAAGACTTTGGACAGATGTGTGCGAGCAAGCCATCGTTTTTCGCGGGTTTGGTGAACTGTATCAAACCAGTGCGCACATGCTGTCTCAGCGAGGACTCCACCTCCATGTAGTGTGTAGTGACAATTTTGTCTCAATCCAGCAATCCCAATCACCTGAACTTCTTTGTTATTCGATTGTCGTGCAGTTTTTAACAGGACTTGGCGACGAAGGTTTTTCCAATTTTGTTCTGTTACCTTGGTGTCAATAATCCGACAGAAAAACCCTGGACTTGGGTACCATTGTTCGTTTTGTTCATCAATATTGCATGATGGTAAGATCACCTGGTTCTGGATGATGGGAATCGCTGCTTCCATACTGGTACCATGTCCAAAAGGATAAAAGCATCGAAATGGAATGGGTTGGCATGAGTGTCCATCAATCATTGGTGATGGAAAGCCAAAAGGAAAGAAAAAGGCCAGCCCAATGTTGCCACACTGTGTGTCATGAATCAGCTCGCATTCCGTGAACATTGTAGTCCAGTTGGGGATGTACTTCAAAATGTCCATGAAAACCTGCGCAGTCGCCCTGTGAACCAATGTAGATTCAATGTGATGTAAACGAAGGAACTCATCAAACATGGCCCATTCCCATCTAGGTTGTGGCAGACTCGGCCGGGGAAACTCATGAAATGCTTTGATTCGGATTTCCTGAAGCATCAGACCTTTCAGTTCCTGCAATATTTCAGATACGTCAAGCCACTTGGCGTGATTGACCAGTGCCGCGTCAATCGCCGGGGAATCTATACAATATGTAACCGCTGTAGACCAAAGTTCCAAGTGTTTGCGCGTCTTGAGCTCAATCATGTCCAACTGTAATGGGTACACCCGTATGAAGCAGTAAGAGAGTTTGGCAAGATTTACTTGGTTGAGCATAGTTTCAAACTTCCATGGAACCTGTCCTGTTGTAAACTTCCAATGTACAGGGATCGCAACATCATACTTAGTGTCTTCGCGATCACTCAGAGTGGGGGTTGAATCATTCAATGCCGGGCATGACGCTGCCTGTTGTTGTAAAAACTGAATGGCTGGTCGTGGTGGTGGAGGAGGAGGCACATATTGTCGAAATAAATTGACTACATTTGGGTCCGTCAGGATGGACGTGTCATGAATTTCAACTCGACAACCATGTGCAGACATGTCCAATACCAATTTAGGTCGCGATGGGGCAGATTTGGCACCTAGTCCTCTTGCATTGGGTGATCGGGATCTATGACGCCGACGATCTCGAGAAGGGGAAAGTGCATGGTGCGGCATATGGAGAGCGCGTGTATTCAAAGTGGTTCAATATTTGGGGCACTGGACACCTTCAGAGTGATTAAACCAATTCTTAACAAGAAAAACCTTTCTAGTCAACAACCATTGGCAAAAACAAATCAACACCTGAAGCCAAACTTTTAGAGCCAAATTTTCATCGTGAGTTAACATCCTGGGTTTTTTCGGCTGTGCCCAGTCGCCATCATACGAAAATGACATGTCAAAACATGTCAAAACATCAGATTGACATCCTGGGTTTTCGGCTTTGCCCAGTCGCCATCAGATGAGGTTTACGCATTAAACCATTTAAAGTAGACTGACATCCTGGGTTTTTTCGGCTTTGCCCAGTAGCCATCGGACGAAGTTTACGCGTCAAACGTGTAAAAGTTATAGATTGACATCCTGGGTTTTTCGGCTTTGCCCAGTCGCCATTATACGAAGTTTTCGTTTCAAAACGTGTATATACAAATTAGTCTGACATCCTGGGTTTTCGGCTTTGCCCAGTTGCCATCACAGGAGATATATGCACTAAACGATGTAAACCTAGACATCCTGGGTTTTTTCGGCTTTGCCAGTAGCCATCAGACGAAATTTACGCGTCAAACGTGTAAAAGTTATAAATTGACATCCTGGGTTTTTCGGCTTTGCCCAGTCGCCATTATACGAAGTTTTTCGTTTCCAAACGTGTACAAATAGTCTGACATCCTGGGTTTTCGGCTTTGCCCAGTTGCCATCAGAGGTGATTTACGCACAAAAAAAACCTGCACCTATAAACTGACATCCTGGGTTTTTCGGCTTTGCCCAGTGGCCATCAGATCAAAATTACGCGTCAAACATGTAAAAGTGGTAGATTGACATCCTGGGTTTATCGGCTTTGCCCAGTCGCCATTATACGAAGTGTGCATTTCAAAACATGTAAAACTAGACAGACATCCTGGGTTTTCGGCTTTGCCCAGTCGCCATTTTACGAGGTTTTCGTTTCAAAACGTGTACAAACTAGTCTGACATCCTGGGTTTTCGGCTTTGTCCAGTCGCCATCACAGGAGATATACGCACTAAACGATGTAAACCTAGACTGACATCCTGGGTTTTTTCGGCTTTGCCCAGTAGCCATCAGACGAAATTTACGCGTCAAACGTGTAAAAGTTATAGATTGACATCCTGGGTTTTTCGGCTTTGCCCAGTCGCCATTATACGAAGTTTTTCGTTTCAAAACATGTATAAACCTAAGCTGACATCCTGGGTTTTCGGCTTTGCCCAGTCGCCATTATACGAAGTTTTCGTTTCAAAACGTGTACAAATTAGTCTGACATCCTGGGTTTTCGGCTTTGCCCAGTTGCCATCAGAGGTGATTTACGCACTAAACCATGTACCTATAAACTGACATCCTGGGTTTTTCGGCTTTGCCCAGTGGCCATCAGATGAAAAATACGCGTCAAACATGTAAAGTGATAGACTGACATCCTGGGTTTATCGGCTTAGCCCAGTCGCCATTATACGAAGTGTTCGTTTCAAAACATGTAAAACTAGACTGACATCCTGGGTTTTCGGCTGTGCCCAGTCGCCATTATACGAAGTTTTCGTTTCAAAACGTGTACAAATTAGTCTGACATCCTGGGTTTTCGGCTTTGCCCAGTCGCCATCACAGGAGATTTGCGCACTAAACCATGCACGTATAAACTGACATCCTGGGTTTTTCGGCTTTGCCCAGTGGCCATTAGATGACAATTACGCGTCAAACATGTAAAAGTGATAGACTGACATCCTGGGTTTATCGGCTTTGCCCAGTCGCCATTATACGAAGTGTTCGTTTCAAAACATGTATAAACCTAAGCTGACATCCTGGGTTTTCGGCTTTGCCCAGTCGCCATTATACGAAGTTTTCGTTTCAAAACGTGTACAAATTAGTCTGACATCCTGGGTTTTCGGCTTTGCCCAGTCGCCATCAAAGGAGATTTGCGCACTAAACCATGCACGTATAAACTGACATCCTGGGTTTTTCGGCTTTACCCAGTGGCCATCAGATCAAAATTACGCGTCAAACTTGTAAAAGTTATAGATTGACATCCTGGGTTTTTCGGCTTTGCCTAGTCGCCATTATACGAAGTTTTTCGTTTCAAAATGTGTACATTAATAGTCTGACATCCTGGGTTTTCGGCTTTGCCCAGTCGCCACCAGATGAGATTTACGCGTTTAAACACCCCACAAAAGGACAACACCAAAAACTTTCAAATTATGGGGAAAAACAAAACTTGGCATAAAGCAAACATAGTCACGATCTTGGTTTTGATGCATTTTGGCTGCATGTGTTCTCTGAACTATTCTCCTTGTCTCTGACTGCTTGTGGCTTTGCCTGAAGTTGGACGTCCCTTCTAGGGTGCTTATGGTCTAAGCCTGCACGAGCTCTTGTTTGCATGCCTCTCAGCTGCCTTGGCATTTCGAGCCTGAACTGGGTCTCTGACCTGTCTTGTTTGCACACTACCCCTGCAACACAGAGGTATGGAGCCCCCCCGGACTATATAAGCCGGGGCGACATTAACACACTGGACTGGTTTTAAGAATTGGAGCTGGTTCCAAATTGGTCGCGTCGAATCGTGCGGATAGTTCGTTCTGCAGGGTTTTAACTTAAAAGATTTGGCAATTCCTACCTGGTAGACCTTGTCAAGGCTGTATCCAAGAACGCAAGGTTGAAGAGGTCGAGAAGGTCGAAGCGGTCGTGAAACCAGATTTCAAATTGCAGTGCAACAGCAAAAAATCGCTTGCTGAAAATGGATAACGGAATAGAAAACAAACAGCGCATGAACAAAACCGAAGTCAACAGTTTTAACCAGTTTTAACCAAGCAGGTACACAACTGAGCGTCCTCAGTTGCTTCCCCTTCAGTGACACAGCTTCGTTGGGCAAGGTAGTCACTGAAGGCCTTGCCCCCCTGCATGTGTAGTTAACCATTCCCTGTGCTAGAAGGGTTTACACACACACACAACGAACAGCTTCAAGAATCTTCAAGTTTTCCTCTCATTGTTTCACACAGCATGTTCTAGAAAAAACTTTGAGTCCATGGTTTTCCTCACCTTCTCCAGCTTTCCCCACCTGTTTCTGGGCGGATGCCACGCACTCATAGAGCCGCGCCAGCAGCATGGCCTTGCGCCGCTCGCCCAGGGGCACCTTGGGCAACAGCCGCGCCAGCCGGCAGGGATCCGACGTAGAGCTACGCAGCAAGGCACCTGTCGACCCGAGAAATCTGCAGAAAACCCATACCATCAATGCCATCAATGCCATTCCATGGCTTTTAATCCCGAAAACACAGAAATCCATTCTGAACTACATCTAAAGCCACATGATGACAATCAATATCAGCATCGGTCCAGCCATCTGTTGCCACGAACCCCATCTCCAGCCTGCACACGCCATGGCACCCGAGAGAGCTGCTGCATCCATGCTGGGGCTCATGGCTTCCAATGTCTGCAGCAAAATGTTGGCCTCGGCGAGCATGGCCGGGGGGCCAGGGGGGCCGGGGGGCCAGGGGGGCCAGGGGTCATCATATGGTGGGGTTTAGGCACCAGAATGGGATTAAAGGCTACAAGAATGGGATGAAAACTACCTTTGAATCCTTTATTTATCTTTATTTACTACAAAAATAAATATACAAATCCATCTCATGACAGCCGCGCCGCTGGGACACAAAGCCTGCAAAACTTCTAGGCACAAACCCATTTTACTTGTTTTTCCCCCCTGCCAGGTGAGGGTTGTTAGATTTTATGTCAGTTGCCTCCTCCTCCTCCTGCTCCTCCTCCTCCGCCTCCTCCTGCCTCGTCCTCCTCTCCTCCTCCTCCTCGTCCTCCTTGTCATCCTTGTCGTCCTTGTCGTCCTCGTCGTCCTTGCTCAACTGCGACCCGCGATCCACAGTGTTCTCTGCCGGACCTCAACCACGACCACCCACGCCCAGTGTTCCCTGCCGGACCTCAACCACGACCATCCACGCCCAGTGTTCCCTGCCGGACCTCAACCACGACCATCCCCGCCCAGTGTTCCCTGCCGGACCTCAACCACGACCATCCACGCCCAGTGTTCCCTGCCGGACCTCAACCGCGAGTATCCCCGCCCAGTGTTCCCTGCCGGACCCCAACCACGACCATCCACGCCCAGTGTTCCCTGCCGGACCTCAACCGCGAGTATCCACGCCAAAAGATATGCCACATAGAGTGCCAGAAGATATGCCAGATAGAATGTTAGAAGATATGCCAGATAGAATGCCGGAAGGTATGCCAGATAGAATGCCAGATAGAATGTCAGCTAGAACGCCAGAAGATATGCCAGATAAAGTGCCAGAATGTTTGCCAGATAGAATGCCAGCAGATTTGCCAGATAATATGCCAGAAGATATGCTAGATAGAATGCCAGATGGAATGCCAGAAGATTTGCCAGATAATATGCCAGAAGATATGCCAGATAGAATGCCAGATGGGATGCCAGAAGGTATGCCAGAACATATGCCAGAAGATATGCCAGAAGATATGCCAGAACATCTGCCAGAAGATATGCCAGAAGATATGCCAGAAGATATGCCAGAACATCTGCCAGAAGATATGCCAGAACATCTGCCAGAAGATATGCCAGGTAGAATGCCAGAAGATATGCCAGATCGAATGCCAGAAAATATGTCAGATAGAATGCCAGAAGATTTGCCAGTAACAAAATGTATAAATGTCATGGTGGGGATCACACGAAGTAAAGTAATTTCACAAGCATCGCCATCATCGCCTCAGAAATGTAAGCATTTTGAACAGAGGCTAGATTCTTAGATTAGAGAGGGCCTCCCCTGCACGCATCGGCAAGCGCGAAGACTGACTCTTGCACTCTGAGAAGTGCAGAAACAGCCGTCAGCAAAGGGAGCCCAAGGAGAACATTAGCACATCGTCTCCTTGTCATCCACCGAGCATACCTGGTGGGTTGGCCTCAAACTCCCGGCTCGACACCAGGGCCATGCTTCGTGAACGAAGCAATGGTATGGAACTTGCCCTTGCGCCCCACACCCGGCCAGCGGTGTGCAGGGTGTCCAATCAGCTATGCTCGGACACCCTTTGGGTAAGGCGGGATGTCAAACGTTTTCCACTCAAAAATGACAACAGTTGACCTGTTAGTCACCTGTCAGGTGCCCAGGTCTTCAACAGCCATCAACCAGGAACATCTGCACAGTCACGCGCAAACTCAAGAAAATATCTGTGACTGCGCACACGAAGCAATCAACCGCACCTGCAACATGCGGCAACATGCGGCAATGTTCATCTGGGCAAAAGATGAATCCAGTGATCATTCCAAATCCATACTTCCTCCTGGCAAACAACTTTCTCGGAATACGATGACCAAAGGAGATTCGGCACTTCGCAAAATGCTCTAATAGAAAAAAAAAACAGTGTGCCCCCAGATGAATACAGCGCCCCCAGCCTGCCAAGGAGAGGGTTTTCTCCGTACATTTGGGTTCGTTCGCCATTGCTTATTTTGGAAAAGGTGAAGTTTAACCCCTCCAAAAATATCCAAAAATATGGCAACCCCAGTGCACTGCACCATCTGATGGTTTTTTGCAAACCTAAAATAGAAATCATAAATCTCGGTTTGTCCTTCATGTCCTAATCCCCCTGGCCCCCCCGCCAAAAAAAAAAACGACCCGACTATATTGCTGAAGAATCCCATCTCAATATCCAAGACCCCCTTAGAAACCCATGGGTTTAGGAGATTTCCACAGGAGATTTCCACAGCATTGGGACCACGGAATGGGGATGTTTAATATTAGGGGGGGGCCCGGATCGGATGGGCCCGGTAGCTCCCAAGTGGCAACGTCCGCGTCAGCCGCCCAGCTGTGCAGTTGCGCCGCGCAGGTACAGCGTTCGCTCTTCAGGCGCTCCAAGTCCTGTCCCTCGCTGAAAGCAAACTGCCTGGGTCGATGATGTTGTGGGATGCTTGTGGGTCTATGGTGATTAGATGAGATAGCAAATCATACCTTGATTGTTGCCCTAAATTGCTGGTCCAATCCGGTGACTCGTGTTGGTCAATATATGGTTCAATCATCCACTGTTGCCAACATTACCAACGTTAAATATGGTTAGATCGCGAAGAATTACTATAAAATCCATGGTTGTATAATGATTGCACCCTATTATTTTTCTATTTACGTTTTTCAAACCCTATTTTAAAAAATCGTGCAAAACTCCCTATTGTTATTGTTCAGTTGTGGCATTTTTACCAACATATACCGACCCAATGTATAAGTTTGATGGTGTCCAGATGGCTAAGCCAGCTTAAACCCAAAGATATCACATGATATTACATTGTGCACCATATATACCATATGGATTATTCGGTACAGCCAAAATATTAGAAGTCACCAGCCTGAAATAAGGTCACGTGCTGATATTTAACCGTGTGAAAGTTTGAAAGGTCTGTGACAAGCAAGTACTTGACAAGAGTTACAGCATACCAACAATTGGAAGTTACAGAGTAGCGTCTAGTGCAGGAGTGAGATCAATGAATGCTATTAGTCCCCACCCCAACCCGACCCATAGGGACGTCACGGTGACGTCGTCATTCGGCCAAATATGATTGGTGTATCCCAGTGTTCAATGGTCTTCCCATTCTATCCCATCATCATTAGTGTCCAAATTTCCCCCCAACCCGGAAAAAAGAAAAAACTTAGTAAGTATTAAGTATTGTCATACAACATCATATACAGTAACCATCAAATTTAGTTTTATATTAAGCATCCGGAAACCAAAATACACCAACCCTCATAAGTTTGATGGTGTCATCTTAAACCTCCAAAGACATCACATGACATTGCATTGTCATATTGTACCATGTTGTACCGTTTGCCATCATATTTGCAATGTGGTCTATTCATGTTTATTCCACATAGTCCTTATGTTGAGTTATTTCACATCACCAATTGTCAGTATAACAGTCTTATTCTATAGTTGATTATAATCCAATTAAAGCAAAAATATGCCAACCCCCATAATTTTCATGGTGTCATCTTCCTTTCCCAACAAATAGATTGATAAAAGTTGATATAAAATGATAGTTGATATATGTTTTACCATGTTTTACCACATCTTTGCCATTGATTTTCCCAACCCCCAACTACTCCAACTACTCCAACTACTCCAACTACCTCCGGATCTCCCAAGCAACGTGGCCGCACTGAGCCGCCCTCGCAGCGGCGTCTCCTCGAGCTGCCGCAGCGGCGGCAGCAGCGCCGCCGCCGCCACGCTGAGCGCCTCGGGCGCCGCGGGGTCCGGCGCCAGAAGATGGGCCACTGGCTCGGTGCCTGGTGGATGATGTGGATGGAAAAAAAGTGGGAAAACCCATAGGACACCATCAAAAAAAAAGGGAAATGACTATGTCAATGTCACTTTTTCTTAGAATTCTTCAGTTGATATACGTTCATTTACTAATTTAGAAGCTGATGGCCCGTCCTGGTGACCCTGATGTGTCTATTGTCTCGAAACATTTGCTTCTGATCTACCCTGGGAATCACGAATCCCAGGTGCAGAGTGGTGCCACAATAGAAGGCATCGCTCGCCACAGCAGCAGGAAGGCCCTTTTGGTGGTCTCCGAGACCTTCATGGCTTCTGGTGGAAAAGTAGGGCCGCTTACCTCAGAGCTGACAGAACTGTTAGATCGTGTCGGCCAGGCTCGGGCCATGATTTGACTACGAAATCCCAGTGATGGTAGGTGACTCACCTTCAAATTTGCCTTGAAGACTTCGGTATGCGGCTTGTGGTAGTTTCACCGGCTAGTATTCCCACCATGTTCCGCTGTTCCGTCATGTTTCATCAAGCTTGGTAGAATTGCCAGGCCTCCACATTCAAATTTCCTGCGCGCAAGAGCTGACAGAAGCACTCCAGCAGGACGGCCACAAAGGCCTGGAGCCGCCGCTTCAAACCAAAGCTTCAAACAAATCAAAATCCAAGAAACGATGGAAATCGTTGATAAATAGTGATCGTCTGTCTAGGTTAATCCTATATAAACATGCATAAACAAAAATGGTTGAAATTATATCATAGATAAGATAATTCAAGTAAGATTTGGGGGGTCCCCATCTTGAGATGGCCCAAGAATTTTGCATACCTTTTTTCCGCCCAGGCGGCCTGCCAGCTCTCGCCATGGCAATCCTTGGGGCGCGGCTTGGCATAGACCCAGGAGATGGCCAAATCCAGATAGAACAGCACCTCCCGTGCGAGATCCTCCTGGCTGCAAGGCTCTTCATCACCTGAAGTGCTGAGAAAACTTGGAGAATGGCACTAGTCTTTTGTGGGGTTGGTTTATCTTAGTTTCTCCAGTGCGAAAGTGGGGTAACCTTGGATATCTCAAGTCTACTGATGAATCAGTAGTCATCAGTTACTAAGTTGGATGATCCTCCAGGCGGTCATTCCAATGGTGGATGCCTGTTGAGCAAAAAAAAATGGTCAGTTTTCACCCCATCACAGGGAAAAAAAACGAAGATGGCGAGAATGAAAGAAAACCGTGGAAATGAAACATAGACATAGTAACAGGAAAAAAAAGCTACCAGCCAAGCCCAATCAACTCCGCTCGGCAAGGCCCAATCAGTACATTTGGTGGGGCCCACCATTTAGGATACCATGAAATATCATCAATATTCATCAATTTTGGGAGTCACTGATTTTCACCTCAATGCCATCTGCCGGGTGGTATTGCAACCATACACGTTCACTCTGAAAACGTCAAAATAAGACATCTCCAAGTCGCTTTCGCTGGACTCCTCTTCCCTTCGGTCCCTTCTCCCATTTCTGTCCGGATCCACGCCACGGGCTGCATCCGCATACCTGGTGCAGGCAGCCCTGAAGTGTGTCATCATCGCCTCCACCACATCCGCTGCGTCATCCAAGGTTTTGGCGTGGTTCCGCATGCGCAGCACCGACATGCGGACGGCCCGGAGACGCGCGGCGCCGGCGCCGCGGGCAGCCTGGAAGTGGACCAGGCTGGCAAAAATGATGGTGTTCCAACCCAAAATGTGCTCGTCAATCCCAATATGCCCCAAGCATCCCAAGTAATTACTTCCAAAGCCATTGAGGACCACACAACATCACCTCGCCTACAATACAACAAAAAATGGACCAAATCTCTGAGTGGTGTGGATAACCATACCCTGTTCTGAATCCCCATGAAAACAGCCACCCTTTCACTACCCGGCTACCCTACCTTGAAGAGAGGCTTCAGCACCGCCTTGGTCTTGTTGCGGAACTGCCTCTGCACACCTTTCACCTCGCACGTGTGGGGTCTCCGGAGGATCGGATCATGGCAGCACAAATTTCCCTTTGGCAAAGATGGCTTGCCGGAAAACCATGGGAAAACCCATCATATTTGGTTTGATGATTTCCCGGCGATCCATGACAACTTCGGGGATTTCCTATTGGCCACGGTTGACTACCGGAGGGTACCACACGAAATTCCCTCACCTAGACTTCGATATTCTGGGTGTCACTATTTTCTTTTGACTGGATAAAAGATGCAAAAGATATCAAAAGATCATCCAACCGAAGGGAAAAAAAAAGATCGTTTGCCTTGAATGTGCTGAATGTTCCGATGTTATCCATCAAACTATCAGTCAACCATCAATCAAACCATCACTAAACCATCAATATATGATCAATCAAACCATCAATTGATGGACAATCAAAGCATCACAAAAAACCATCACCTCCCAGCCCCAAGTCACTGTCTTGGCCAACAAAATGCTGACACCATCGGCCAAGTCCTGGTCGTCGCGGACCTTGGAATCCACCAGGAGGTCGAAGACCTCTGCCACCGCCTGGTCCCGAAAGCCAATCGCCCCGTAGAGGACGTCAAAAGGAATGGATGCAATCAATTGATAGGAATATATAGTTGTTATACAGCAGTAATGCATAGTAATACTATGTAATACATTGTAATACTATCTCTTATAGTTGTTTATGTTTTTTTTGGGGGGTGGTACTCAAAGAATGCCTAGATCCAATCAAGAAAAAGAAGGACTAGGCCAGCAACATTAATGGCCGTAGAATTAGGGGTGTTCCCAATTCACGAATAGATCGAATAATACATGGTTTTGAATGGGGATAATTTCATATTAGGGGGCAGAAGTGGTTAAAAACCAATTCATTGGAAAACAACCGCAAATTTGTGAAACCTTGGCATTGGAACAAAAAACCTTTGGAGGTTTCAAACGCCTTACAAATTGAAAACACATCATCATCATCATCATCATCATCATCTTCATCATTCATCACCCATCATCATCCATCAAAAGATCATATTCCATGAAAGTTCCATGAAAAGTTCCATTTTACATTCCATATGCACGGAAACCCATGGTATAAACCAACCGATACGGCTGGACCAGGACATCGACTCCCGCCTGGGACATCCCGGAGCTCGGGATGCGGCGGAAGACCAGGGCCAAACTCTCGGCCGCGAAGTGCCGGATTGTGATCTTGCGATGTTTCCTCGTGGCCGGAGCCAAAGTGGAGGTGAAATGTGGAAAATTAAATATACTAATAACGTGTAATATAATATGATTTTGTAAAATATATGTGTGTGTGTGATTGTGTATGCATAATATATATATATATGTGTGTGTGTGCAATTATAATGTATGCAATTGTATCAATGAATTTAAATGGAGCAGCTATCCAATGTTTCCTCGTAAACTGGTGGTCAAATCCTGGTCGTGTTCTTGCGGAAGTGGGATTGGACATGATTGGACGGTTGGCCCAAAGCAAGTTTTAGAAACCCATACCCTCTGGTAAACTGTCACATAGCGAACTGGAAAGATCCACCATTTTCTAGCTGGGTAAATCCACTATTTCGACTGGGTCATTTTCAGTAGCAATAACTTGACATAACCAGGCCGGGTACTTCTCAGATACCTTCGGGGGATCTTTTGGGATCCTTCGTTTTCCCGAATGTTTTCCCACTGAGTTTGGCTCCCCTTTTTTTAATGGGTCCATTGGGCCCTGGAACGACATCTTAACTTAACTGGTTGGTGGTTGAGCCACCCCTTTGAAAAATGATGGAGTTCGTCAGTTGGGATGATGACATTCCCAATATGATGGGAAAAATAAAAAATGTTCCAAACCACCAATCAGTTAATCTCTTACTTGGACCCTGCTCGAACTCAGACCATTTTGACTTCGGCCATACCAGGCCCCAGCGTCAGCAGCATGGTGTACTGCTTGAGGTATTTCGGCAACTCGTTGATGACATAGCGAGCCCGGTATTTCAACAAGTACGTCAAACCTGGACTTCGGAAGCCGAGCAGTGCCTAGTTCACCGAAGCTGCCGTAGTTTGGAAAACCTATCGCTTGGGTCATAAGGGCTCCTAGTTCGTGGATCATAATGTCATAAAACCACAAATGAAATAGAACACACTAGAATAATATATATCAAAACCCATCAATAAAACATAATATGATAGTTTATATCATAAATGTTATATATATAATATAAACCGAATCAAAACCCATCAACCAACAAGGATGAACGGAGCAATGCTCAGGTGAAATGCCTATCCCCAAGGTTTGCCCAGTTCGGTTCGGCCGCAGAAATACGCAGGTGCGGCATCATGGTACGGATGTGGCGGGATGGAGCGGGTGTGCTACAAGCATCTACAAGCCACATTTCAGGTCCTCATCATGAGAACAGGCCAGTCACTTAGCTCTGAAACTGACCATGCCGCTGCTGGCTGAGTGAGTCTTGTAGCAAAGTTTAAAATTTCAGAAGCCTGAAAGTGATTCAAAACCAATCACACACCAGATCTGTGAAAGTAATCCCTTCCCCTAATTCCCTTGGTAACTCATATTCTATAAGCATCTTCAAAAAGAGACCCCAAATGACTATCTATTCATACTGCTATTAAACCATTTGTGTTTTGATGGTATATAATATTGAGAGGGAAGCATTGCTTGAGATTTTCGGATTACCATGTCGTCTGTTGTGAGAGGCATCTTTGCGGCTGAGCATAGTTGGATTCCCAGAAATTCTCACATGGAGTGAGCAACCAGAAGGGGAACGACTGAGCAACTGCCTTTTGCCAAATCAGGGAGCCCAAGCCCAGCAAAAAATTCATCAGAAACCCAAATGCCTCACAATAGAGGGTCTTTTTAACACCTCGCAAACATCTAATGTACTCGAATGTGCCAAGGGTTAATTCATCCCACTAATCCACTATACATTCACTATATCTATCATGAACTGAATCTCATAATCCCCAGGCCCCAGTCGTTGCATGTTGCATCCCAGCCACATTCCTTGGCATGTTCTAAGAGATCCGCGTCGTGTCCGGTGCGCCCGGCCGCGGCGATCAAATCCAGCAGCACGGGATAGACCTTCCTTGGAGGGCTCGGGCCCCACATGCAGCTTGCCGTGGCTGGGATCTCCCCAAACTTAATGGAGGTTTCTTGGAAAATCATAGGAAAATCATAGGAAAATCATAGGAAAATCATAGGAAAATGATAGGAAAATATGATAAAATATGGAAACACCTCTATGAATGGAGGTTCTATCTAAGAGGAAAATTATCTATCAATCATAGATCTACATATTCATATAGGCATCAATTTAGTTTGCCAGCTGCTGCCGTGGATCTATTGCGCGGCCCCACAGAAATAGGATATTTCACATGAAATATATAATCTGGTTAGTTAACATAGCCATGGAAAATCCCAACCATAAATGGAGGGTTTTAATGGGAAAATCATCTATTTCTATGGCCCATCTATTCCATGGCTATGACAACTCAAGAAATCACCGGCTCAGCGCATCTCCAGGCGTCTGAAAATGCGGCAAGAGGTCAGCGTCCTCATCGCCTCTGCGGAGCACAAATAGACGTGGCTTTTCCAAAAGAATATGCGAGCTGTTTTATGACATTATACCATCTATTTCTATATATGAACCTAGTTGAAATTATATATTATATATATGTATACATACATACATTTGTACATACATCTATGGTACCTGATCTATAAAAGCTAGCTTTCAATGCCCTGTGGACACCCAAGAATACAGCCCAACGCATCCAGGAAACCATAGGAACTCAAAACTAATCACAGGGAGGAAAGGCCTGTTCCACAGCACCTCCAATATCAAGATATATCAAGCAAAGATTTCTGAAACCCAGCTGATTCATTGGGGTTACTTTAACATGAAAAAATCGAAAAAAAAACTGTTGGAAAGGCTACTCCCCGATATGAGTTGACGAGGGTCCTTGCAGGGTCCCCCCAGGGTCCCAGGGTCCCCACTTTTCCACCGCGCCTGCAAGCAACCCCAATCTGGTCAAAATCACTTCGGCAGACATGGCGGGTTTTTCTAAACAAATCAAATGATGATCGGACCATTAATCTTTGGCAAAGTTGGCATCTCTCAGAAGAGTTCAATCGTCACAATTCGATGCCCCCGTGGTTTTTCTCCTACGATAAACAACTCTGGGGATAAAATGGCCGCCTAGGACAAAAGCTTTGTGCTTTGCCATTTTGAAGGCCCACCTGAGACAACCATTTTCCAACATCACTTGCTGCATTTCAGTCTGTGGCATACTGTTTTGGGTCAGCATCACAGCCATCAAGACAAGTTCTTTCTCCTTTCTCCATGGCTCATTGGGCATGAGTCCATGTGAAAGCGCTTGAGCAAAAAATCAGTGCTCACACAAAAAAGAAGTCGGCCCAAGGAAGATATTGCTGGCATGTCTGGAACCCTTACTCAGACCAGGGTCAACTGGATACCTGAACCCAAAGAGAAAAACAATGGATTTGAACCTACCCAAGGAGAAAAACAATAGATTTCTGATTTCTTGGTGGTTTTGAGGCATCCAATTTTCGGGAGTTGCAGTGTCAAATTTCGCATGTTCTCCCAGGTGCGACGCCATCAAAGTTTACCACCCAAGGACCTCATCGAAAGTGCCACCAATATCTTGCATGGTGGATCGAAGTACTGTAATCCCTAGACTGATAAAATATGATAAAATGATACAGTCATCTTGGGCACGACTCCCCTGACTAACCATCATCTCTTGTGAGCTCGTTGTGGGGTCGGTGTAACTTGCCAAGACCAAGATGGATAGACTTGGATAAATGGAAGACAAATAGATAGATAGTGCATGTGCAAACATGGAAGATTGCGCAGCACGGGTTCCGCGCCACAGGGTCTGACCCAAGCTATGAACTGTGGCAAATGGGCTTGGAGCCGGGCTAGGGATAAGGTTCCACACCTTCAAATATCACACTCGAGTACCCTCGGCCTCCTTTTTGACAAATCCACATCATGTGGCTTCGACCGTGATAATCTTCCCATTTGTTGGGACGAAAAGCGAATAATATGCGCCAAAATCTTCGAAACCCACCATCCAGTTGTTACTTAGTGTTGCTTCTCTCATCTTCTTTGCCCGTTTTTCTCGTATTTCCATGATTTTCCATTGTATTTCCAGTTTTACATCCCCATCTTTTGGCTCAAACCCTTCCCTCCTGGCTTCCCAGTTCTGTTTTCACAGCTCGTTGCCTGAGGCCTTGATCCGCGGCCTCGCCCTCAGGAGGTCACGTGCAGCTCCCTGCGCAAGATCCAAGGGAGTCCTCGGAGTTCAGAGGTCGATTTGGAGCTTTCGGACAGTTCGTTTTTGGGAACTTATGGGATTATTATGGGATTATTATGGGAGTATTATGGGAGTATTATGGGATTATTATGGGATTATTATCGGAGTATTATGGGATTATTATGGGATTATTATGGGATTATTATGGGATCATTCTGGGATTATTAGAAGCGTCATGGTATTATTCGGAGCGCTATGGGATTTTTAAGGAAATGAATTGGTACGGGATGACATTGTGGGATTATTATGGGACTATGATGGGGAAACCAAGCAATATTGAAGATTTCATGGGTACGTTTCTGCGGGGAAAATCTTAACTGGAAACCATGGTTTTTAATTACCAGCAATGATGAGGGAATCCTGATTTTTTCACACAAACCAATCCAACCATATAAAGAATCCGTATCTCAGAATGTATGATCATTACCATATAGGATATATATATATATATAATATAATATAATTGTTGCCAGGCGTCAAACTGTTTAATCTGTTTGTAGACTGGGTTTGCTACAAGTAGAGCCGTGGATCTTTAATTCTTTGGGTGCTGGGGAGCCACCTCTATCGCCAGGATCTAGTGAGAAGTTCCTGTCCCACCCTGCACCAAATGTTACTCGGTCAATTCCCTTTTTCGCCCCATCTCTTGGATAAGCCTCACATTTTTTTCAAAAACAATTCTTGGATCATAGTCCCAATTGTTTGGTTGAAAATCTCTATGCGTAGATTAAAGATGTTCGGTGCAGCCCTGACGTTGCTCCGCGCCGGAATTGCGGAAGGGTTGCATACTTTTGAAATGCCGTGTCGGTGGACTTTCACTATGTAGATGTATATGTGATCGATGATCAATATCATCATCATCATCATCATCATCATCATCATCATCATCAGCATGATCATCATGATCATCATCATCATGATCATGATGATCATGCTGATGATGATGATGATGATGATGATGATGATGGTGATCATGATTATGATTATGATGACGATGATGATGATGATGATGATGATGATGACGATGACGATGAGGATGGTGATGACGATGACGATGATGGTGATGATGATGATGATGATGATGATGATGATGATGATGGTGATGGTGATGGTGATGGTGATGATGATGATGATGATGATGCTGATGATGATGATGATGATGGTGATGATGATGATGATGATGATGATGATGATGGTGATGGTGATGGTGATGTTGATTGTAAGTGTGGAGAAACGTCCGGGTTGGACGGAAGATGTTTAAACTATCTTTAACTATCATCAAGAAAATATCGCCAACTATTTATGGTGATGACTTACTATTACCAACTATTATGGCATGGTTTTTTGGTTGGTTTAATGGTTTGGTACCCTCTGGTAAACGTTTACATAACTATGGAAAATCACCATTTTTCATGGGAAAACTCACTATTTCTATGGCCATTTTCCATAGCTATGTCAGCCATAACCAGAGGGTAACCACAATCCACGGTCCACGGTCCGCCTTTCGAAGCCAGGCCTCTTCCCCTTCCGATCCTTCGCCGGTGACGCCCTTAGCTCCAATAAGAGCCGCAGTAGCTCCAGGTGTCCGTGAAGCGAGGCCCAGTGCAAGGGCTGCATACCTGCCATGGGCCAGGCTGATGTGGCTTTTCATAGGGGATTTGGTGGTTTCATTTGGGGATTTCCCACTGGGATTTCCATGGTTAATAGCGGTTAATAGTGGTTCATAATGGTTATAGTAATGGTTAATAATGGTTAATAATGATCTGCTTGGTGATATACCTACCATGAGGAAAAATGATGGAGTTCGTCAATGGGAACAATGACATCCTATTGTTTCATTAAAAAAAAGTTTGAAACCAGCAGCCAGAATATCTTGTAATAGGCTGATGTGATGGGATTAGCATGGATCAATTAACAATTATTTGTATATGATTTGTTATGATGTTTTATGGCTTTGATACTGGCACAAATCAATTGGGTTGAATGGGATGTCGTGGCTTCATATAAGCTAACATACTCCTTGTATTTTGTGTGACTTACAACAGGCAGACAGAATGCGTGTTTAATAGATTAGAATATGCAAAAACCATGGGATGCTCATTAAATAGTTAGAATATGCAATAGGCTTGAATGGTATTTCATGGGTTCACATGACTAAATGGGATTCTAAGAAAAAGTACAACGTATCTATATACAACCATTCACTAGGGTTTTAATGGGTTTAATCGCCTAATAGGATGAAAAGAATTATTTCATAAGCTAAAGCAACCATTTTATGGGGAGACAAATATCATGGGGATATGATGGAGGAGTTGATTAGCTAAGTTGGCAGAATGGGATTCTAAGCACCAAATATTGGAACATGGAGATGTATATAATAGGATTACTGTAGAACAGGATTTACTTTCTTTAATGATACTGGTAGTGCCCCCTTGGCAAGTTGGTTGATGAGTATATTGTGAGTTGGGATTAATTAAGTTGGGTTTACGGTGGTGAAACAACTGTAGATAACAAACTAACAAACATAGCTAGCAGCTATGGGCCACCCCCTGGCAGGTGCCATGATTCCAGCAGTGACAAGCGAAGGGGGCTGGCTGATGATTTGAGATGATTCAAGATCCTTTGTTCAGGAGAAGGTTTCAAGCTTAGCGATGTGTTTGACCAAGCATCGGATTTTTTTGTTTGAAGAATTTACCCGGTATATGTTATAGGGAAAACGGTTGCTTTCTAAAGTGTGATATGGTTTTCTATACTGTAAATGCGCCCTTTTAAAATGATCTCAATAAATCCAGAATGAAGGATGTTCAGAAGAGATGCCCGCCGGCCAAAAGCACCCAACCCAAGCCCAATGTCCTCATCCGCAGATCTCCCAACTTGCTAACTTGAACTAAAGTTATAACTCTAGTTATCCCATAAAATAGTGACCATGTGGCATTTAACCCCACGATTTCATACATTTTACCCATTACCCTCTGGTAAACTAACAGTTCGCCATGGTATAGATGGCCCATAGAAATAGATGGTTTACCTATCAAAGATGGTGATTTTCTATAGCCATGTAAAATTACTAGAGGGTACCCCACATTTCATCCCCACACTGAGCTCCGGCGCCTGCATGATCCGTTTCCTCCATATTGCCCCGGGCGGCCACCAGGCGCCTCACCACCTCCGCCTGCCCGGTGGTGGCCGCCGCCGACAGCGCGCCACCGCCCAAGGTGTTGGTGGCCCTGACGTCGCCACGGCGCGACAGCAGGAAGTCGACCACGGCCAGGTGTCCTGCAGATCCCTAAGGTTTGATCACTGGTTGATGGTTTATTGATGTTTAAAACATCCATAATCCATCCATAATCCATCTATAAACCAGTGATTTTATGGGGCTAATCAGTGATTCAACCATTGATTTTAGGTGGATTTCCCACACAAACCCTTAAGACCTTGGAGGGTTTGATCAAGGTCCTACTGAAGGGGCCCAAAAAAAATGGTTCCATGGTCTTTTCATGGGAAAATCGTTGTTTTCTTCTCTTCCATCTCTTTGCTGCGCATTAGAACATCGAATGTTGGTATTGCGTATGTTTTCGAGGAATATAAACGATTGATGGATCTGGATAATAACATTTTATGGATTTCATGTAAACCATCCCAATAGGGATCGTTTACCCAGCACACATGAGCATGCAACCACCAACCATTTTTTCCCAAGGATCAACTGAATATATAATATGATCAAACAAGTGGATCCTTGAAGAATATGAGGTGGGCGAGCCAAACTCGAATCATAGGTGGACATCCATGGTATTTTTGCAACCATGTCATAGAACTACTACCATGCCATACAAATTTACAGATCGCAATTTGGAGGTTTCCTAAAATGGTGGTACCCCTAAATCATCCATTTTATTCTCGGATTTTCTGTCAAAAACATTCCTTTTTGGGCACCTCTATTTATAGAAAAAAACCATATGGATCCATATGGATTGATGGTTTCTACCATCCACTGCAAAGTTGGGAATGGAGCTTTGGCCGCTGGGTTGAACTTTGAGAAACAAGGAAACAGCAAAACCAGAGCAAACAAAACAACAAAGCAGCAAACCAAGAAAACGCATTCTAGATTCTAGTTGTTTCCCAGATTTCTTTTAAAACCGTTTTCTGGTTTGTCATTTTGGTAAATCTATCAATCTCACCTTGGTGGCCTCAGCCTACCAGTGTCCCGGTGTCTGCGGGTCCCTGCGTTGCTGCCCATTGCAACGGACTCGCTCCCTTCCCGTCGCGCTCGGCCACCACGTTTTCACCCAGGGCTTTCAGCACCTTCACGTGGCCACTAAAGGCAGCCAAGAAGCTGGGAGATAAACCTGTCGGTGACAGCGGGATCTGAGGTTCACTGAGTTAAAGAGATGCCCAGTACTGGCAAATGAGGGTATTCCATTGAAATATTGAACATCATTGAACTAGCCTCAACCAAGGTGTCCCCCCCACAGTTTTGGTCCAGTCAACCCCCATTTCTTGATGGTTTCTCCGAACCCCGCTTCACTTAAAAGCTCAACATGCATGGCCAATCTTCGATACCCAAAAAAAAAAAGCACATACGCTACCATACATCTAGTCACTTACCTATTGATCCTATATATATATATATTATGTGTGATTATGTGTGTGAATTTAGCCGGTTAGTACATACCCCCATCATCCCCAAGGGTTGACCCAGTCATATTCCCCACCTTCATCATCTCGGCTCAGCTCCGCCCGTGCCCGCAGCAGCTCCCGGACCACCTCCGCGTGGCCGTGCAACGCCGCGCGGTGCACCGCGCTGTGCCCGTAGCGCCCCGCCCGTTGCCGCAGCGCCGCCGCAAGGCCCGGCGAAGGCGACAGGAGCTGCTGGACCTGGCAACTGGTTAGCCATACATAATAAGTGAATAAGTACTGATTAGTGGTTAGTGATTAATGGTTAGCGATTAATGGTTAGTGATGGTTAGTAATGGTTAATCATGGTCAATGATGGTTACTTGGAGGATCCCACGAATCCCACCGAATCGTAGGAATCGGGGACAAACGAACTCGAATCCCAGGCTTACCGTTTTAAACGTTACGTTCACCGGTGACGAGCCGCAAGGGATGATCCGTCTCAAGTAGTCAATCAACCAGTGACTTAGCATGAGTTAGCTACCTAACTAACCATCATGGGGATCCAACCCCGATAGCTGTTCAATAAGCCCTGAAAATAAAGCCCTACTATTGGAGGGGGTTCCGCATTGCGCGGGGTTGGTGGAAATTCCTTGAAATGATGAGAACATATGATTCAACTGTTGGTTATACCGTATTTATACCCCCAGTATTAACCGGCTTGATTGATCATTAATTGATCAACCATTATTTCTGGTAAAACCTATCAGAACCTATTAGTTAGTTGATATACCATTTTCCTATGGTTAAATCATCAGTTTCCGGGTTTTTCTATGGAAAATCATCAACACTGGAGGGTGTTTTATGGGAAAATCATCAAACTAACTGGTGAACTAACTGGTGGATTTCTATGATTTCTATCGATGTCCATTTTTCCTCATTTTCCCTATGGTTTTTCACCAGCATCCCATGGTTTCGGATCAGGCGTTTCGGACCTCCTTGAGGTCCCCTCGGTTCGCCGCCCGCAGCAGCGCGGGCCAGGTCTCGGTGTGGCCCTGGGCGCCCACGGCCAGGCTGAAAGCGCTCAGGCTGCAGGTGCTATGCTCCACGTCGTCGCCGAAGTAGAGCACCTGGGGACCGGGAACGGTCACCCCGGTCACCCCGTGGTGAAAATGAGAAAACCACTGGGAGACCGAAAAGGGGGTCTATGGGATTTGATGATGTGGGAAAAATGAGCTTATTTCGGATTGGGATCGGGATTATATTGAATTCTATGGGAGTGATGCGGGATTATCATGGGAAAGATGCAGGAATCAATGGGGATACATTCGCAAGTATTCAGTTTTCTCATAACCTTCCCAAAGATCAAAAAGGTTCAAAATCCGAATCCAAATTAATGATGAATTACTTGTCTTTCTTTCTGGATGGTACTATCTACATACATTATATGTATATATATATAATGGGATATGATGGTATTTTTATGGGGATTTGTTGGGCTATAACTAGGAAACCAACCAATATTGAAGATTCAATGGAGTGAAAGGAAAATCTCACCCTGAAACCATGCTCTCTTCCTTGAAACAAAGGGAGTTCCTGTAAGTTATCCCATGATCCAGCTCGAGGGAACCGTTGTTTTCCAAGGAAAATATCCTGGCGTTTTTTTCCACAGACTACTGCACTGGAGGCTAATTAACCAAGATAGATACATATATATATACTATGTTATATATGCAACACAACGAAGCAGGGACGGTCTGAAAAAAATGCATATGATTCAGCAAAGCATCAAGATTCGGGGTCCGCGCATTGACGATGGTTTGTTTAAGGGAACTCTGCAGGAATGAAAATCATTCTGGCCGTCGGTTTCCTGATTTAAGGATATTTAAGGGCCAACATATCGAACATATGAAGGTAAGGTTTATGATGGTTTATGTACTTTCCAGGGCTGTGGGAATAGCCACCAACACTATGGCCTTGTATGATGAAGTGCCTCCATATATGATTGAATGAGCTGTTTATGGCTTCGGGTCACCAATAGTTCTGGCGGATTCAGGACACTCAATACATCTCAATACCGACAAATCTGGCCATGTTAGGACCTCTCTCCGGAGATTTTGGGGCTTGGGATCTTTGAGCCCTACTTCAGTGCCCGAAAATTGTCGATCAAAACCTGTTTTTCTCCACCTTCACCCCAGGGCCCCAAGCGGCACCTCCCCAGCATGTTGGACGCAGAGTTTCACGCCCGGCTCGGGCGCCTGCAGCAAGGACTCGATGGCGCCGCAGGGATCTTCCCAACCTCGGATGGGCTGTCATCGCTGGATGCCTTTGGAATGTTGAGCAACCAATCATGGCCATAGAAATTGTGAATTTTCCCATGAAAAATGGTGATTTTCCATAGAAATAGTGGATTTTCCCATTGAAAATTGTGTTTTTCCATAGAAATTGTGAATTTTCCCATGAAAAATGGTGATTTTCCATAGTTATGTAAACGTTTACCGGAGGGTATTGATACTATTGGATGTTACCAATGATACTATTGATACTATTGCTGGTTGGTGGTTGGCCCACCCCTCTGAAAAATATTAGTCAGTTGGGATGATTATTTTCAATATATGGAAAGTCATAATCCAGTCATGTTCCAAAGCACCAAGCAGATCACCATCATATTCCCATTGTTGTTGGTTTATAGCCTATTAACCACTATTAACCATCACTATTAACCACTATGTTGGAACATGTTGGAATCATTGAATGTTGGCTCCCCCAACTTCAAACATGTTGAATCCATGAAACCAAAACTCGCCGGGACATGATATTAAAATCTAGGCGAATGGCAGACAAACCACTATATCTTCCATGGTTTTTTGGCGGCCAGTGGGGCCACCATGATTTACAGATGTTGGATAGGTTCCATCCTATTTGTTCACAGTGGTTTCTTTGTTGAATCACCCAAAAATTGGTTCTGGTTACCGCATGAATGGGATGATGATTCTGTGTGGCATGCCCAAAACCATGAGCCATACCCCATAAAAACCTATGACTTATCATCCTGTTGATTCCATACGGGGAATATTAAGATCATGCCCAAAAATGGAGGTCTATGGCTTGGGATGGCTTGAGGCTTGTGCAATTTCTATCCCTGAAATTTGAAGCGTAAATGATGTTCTGGTCCCCTCCGTCACATTGACCCCATTCAAGCCGCAGATGCGTAGTAAAGCATGACATACCCTGCCCGCCCAACCAAGAAACTTATCTTTATCAAATAGTCTATATATGTACAGTATATCTTCCCATCAAGATCACATGCGAGCAGATTGCAACCCATCACCATCATGAGCTTTCAACCAACCCCGGAAATCCTGTTTGTGTTAACGTATTACTTATTGGGCAAGATCTTGATATCCTTAACTAACAACCACTATATAATCCCTTCACTCTGATACAAAACACCCCCATTCTATGGTCTCAAATATGTGGTTTAATGACCTACTAGACCAGGGTTTCGGGGCGGGTGATATCATAAGGGGAGGAATTTCTTGTATTTGCTTAAGAAAGCAAAATAATTCTGATCGTTTTCCGTAGTAGCTTTCCCCTTAAGCAAAAGGGATGAATAGTTGGCTAGTACTGGTTGGTTCTAAACCATTATATCCCCATTCGCAATTCGCATATCCATATTAAATCATCATTAATATCGTCATCATAATCATCATGAATATCATAATTTATATCATCATATAAATCATATCATCATCATAATCATCATACAATCATCATATGATCAATAACCGTTCTATAATCATATTTTGATGCTGAACCCCCCCTAAACCCAACCCCGGCGCCATTTCACCAGGCCACCCTCAAAAGCGGCGCCCGCGGCCACGGGTGGTCTCTGAAGCCACCAGGCCTTGATGCCGCTCAGCAGGGCATGCCAGGTTTCAGGGTGCCCGTCATGTCTGGGGACTGCGCCACCCCGGACGCCTCGGACGCCACGGATGTGTGGAAAAATGGGTGCTTGGGAGCACCAAAACATGGCTGAAATGGAAACATGTGGAATTATTTGGGGATGAAAATGGATCAAGTTCACTATGCATCCTGGTTTTTTGGGTGGAATTTCACCCTTATAGTATCTTATAGTCTATAGTATTGGAATGTATTGGGTATGGGAGGCATTTCACTGTGGCAGAATGAGGAAACGAAACCTGGAAGGCCTCCAGGTAAGTCTGCCAATTTTCTGGCTGAGCTAGCGGACCACAGTTTCAGGAAGAGCAGGGACCAGCACTGTTCATGGTATCCCCATCAGGCGGCTGGGTTATCATGGGGATATAAGCAACTATAATAGAGATCTTTTGAGGATGATTGTTGCAGTTCCATAGGATTTCAAGATGGGATGATGATGAATCATGACTCCACACATCTGCGGGCTCACCGTTATAGTTGCTGTCAGAAAGGGACTGAAACTACCCTAGAGAACTAGAGAACGGGAAATAGTTATCCCCACGCATCAATCCATTATCACATGGTCCTTCATGACCATTCCCAACCTCAAAAAAATAACAAAAAACTGTAATTAGCACTATTGTATTGGCCATATATACCTATACGATCCTATACTATCAATTAATATCATACCCATTCTACTTCCATACCTTCAACTTCTCCGCCATCCTGGTGCCATGTCCAGGCACCCACCGAGAAAATGGGCCGCTCCGCGAAGTCTTCCCAGAGCTTCCGCCGCCGCGCGCGCCGCGCAAAGCGCCAGGCGCGGCCAAAGGCGCCCCGCAGGGTGTCCGAGACGAAGATCATGCGCTCGTTGCGTTGCGCCTGAGCTGAGCTCCTAGGACCTTTTTTCTGGGGCCCCTGGGGCCCGGGCCGGTTCTCCGGACTCACGGTGACTACGTCAACTGACTTTAATGGTGATGAAATAACATGAAATAACTATAGTGAAACTTCAATTAGATGGGTAAACCAACAAACATACCTAGGGGGCACCAGCTTGTGAGAGCTGAGATGAGCCGATGGGTATTTTGAAGCTGGTTGCTATGGATATCGTGTGGTGACACTCAAATAGTTTTAAAACTTGTGAGGGAAAGAGATCAACGCGGCTGGTTGAAAACTTGCTTCTTACTAGCCATGGCCATGGCACACATCCCTTGCCTGGCTACATGAGTCCGAAAAGAGGGCACTCCGATGTCCAACGGCTTTTTAGTTTATCAATGTTGATCATCATTTTCCACTTCAAAAGCTTCCATTTTGGTGGGGTACACCGTGTTCAATCCATGTCCCCATCCTTGGCATCGCTCCTGAACATAGTCGCCCAATTTGGGATGGGCGTAGTTTCCCCGCGTGTCGTCCGCATAGAAGGTCTCATTGCCATGGCGTCGCAGCACCTCCTCCGGTCCTCGGAGGCCGAGGTTCAATCCCGGATGTTTCAGGGTGAACTCCTCCATGAAATGGGACCACCTCTGTTAAGTAGGTCATCATAGCTATGGAAAACGACCCATTGATGACCCATTTATAGATGATTTACCATGATTTACAGGGTGATTTACGAAAAAGCGATGTTAAACATCCAGGTGGTAAGATCTATAAATGTATTCCTCACATTCGGAACAATGGACCCCTGAATGCCCAGTGCACTATGGAATGCTTGTCAAATCTGGCTCTTGGCTCACAAAATGCTTGACCAACGATGCCAGAATTGCAGACGAAAGTGATGGCAAACTTGGTTTTCCTCTACATCACCAAGTTTGGTGCTTCATTTTTTTCAGGGAATGTGGATATCCGCACGCTGCTGTGACAATTAAGAAGGGTTTCCTGCTTGAAAAGGTATGTATCATGAGCTGCTCCAAGCCCACGTGGGGCTTGGAACTCTGCTGTTGGCCACTGAGTATCGCCACTGCAACAGTTCTTCGTCATCAAAAAGCCCGGTGAGCATCACACCTGGAAGACAAAGCCGCAGCTAAAGCTGCTAAGTTCTATCTCCAGGGGGCGGTGATGTGACTGTAGATTTAAGCACAAGGAATAAGGCACACAACCACCAATTGTGAGATGCGGAGGTTGGAAGATGATCTTGCTGAGATTTACTTTGATCACTTTCACGGCTTCATCTTGAATTCGCGGGACTCACCACGGGTGAAACCCGCATTGTCCTACCATGTGGGTATGTCCCGCAAACGTCCTCAACGTCCACAAAGCCTGGCAGAATGGATGTTGTTCACTCCCTTCTTCCCAGCCTCCGCTTTGACGAAGACCAGGCATCGCGTTGAACGCCGCCCAGTCCATGCCACGCACGTTGACACGTGGCACATCGCAACGGCTCAACAAAGAAGGCCAGGTATCGCTGCCCATGGCTGGGGAGTTGGCCTCTAAACAGTTCCATTGAATCCCAAAAAAAAATGGGGAAGTTCACCCTTTTTTCACGCAGGAGTTTGGGATGAAGAGGGATGACATATGGATGAACTGATGGTGTATCTGGTCATTTCGCTTGGCAGCGAGAAAGCCTCAAGTGTGACAGGGTGCCACTGCACCATATCGCCGAGCTGACAATGCTGACCCTAGATTTATTGGCGGTTGTCTCATGCAGCTCGTTTCTGGTGGTTATGGCGGTGCTTACCCACTGGTTCCGGACAAAAGTTCCCTGCATTTTGGGTCGGTCACATGTCGACTTAAAATTAAGCCCAGGCTCGAGCCCAGAAAGGCTACTGATGAATCATTATCTCCAAAAAAAAATCGTTCACCAAAGGCCCCGGAGAATTCCTCTGTAGTATTAATCTATTAAACTGGTCCAACCTAAAGATATGATCTTCAAAGGAAACGGTAGCAATGCTACCGTGGAAAACAAACAGGCGCAATGGGAAAACATCTAAAGACGTGCTCAGGATGTGACAAACTCCACCATTTTCGGATGATCGTCCATGATATTTTCCCGGTGTCCCATTGCCAGGTCCATACCCCTTATGTATATGCATGCATACGCGCAGATACTTGCATTTAACATGCATATATACACATACGCACACACACACACACACACGCACACACATTTATATATGTGTGTGTGTGCGTGTGTGCGCGTGTGTGTGTGTGTGTACATGTGCGCATGTTTATTTATTTGTTTGTATTTATATTTAGTTATATATTATATATCTATGTGTGTGTGCGCGTGTGTGATATATTTCATGTATGCATTCATAGATGTCATACGCACAATAGGCTGCTCAGGGTCAGGCATCTCCTTGAAACCCTTCACACTTTGAAAGCAGCAGCTGCTCCATAGGGAAAATGAAAGCAAGCATCTTCGGGGTGGTGGTTCCAAGGAGGGAACATCAATATGTTTGAGACTATCATGAGACTATCAGGCGGTCTTGAGGGATTTGATCTAAGCTAAAATAACTGGAAACCGAGTACACCCAACCTCGAGCCATTGTTTCCTGCATTTGGGCTTCAAATCTCCGCACCAATCACTTGACAACCAGCCGTCCACTTTTGCTATCGCGGTTGTTGTAGAACTGCAGGACCTAACTGGGTCCAGCGACCATTTTTGGGGACCTGCTGTTCAAGTCCTTGCCTCCAACCGACCAACATTTATGGCGTTTTTTATTTGCATCATGCAGTACCACGATCACATGGACGGGGGTTGTTACATCAAAACCACAATAGTACATACATATATATATATATATGTGTGTGTATAATTATTCATATTATTTATGGCATTGCAATATATTGCAATGTAACCCCGGCTGTCCCTTGTACAGAACCAGATGTTGGCATGTTTTGGCACAAAGGCGCATAGTTTTCCAAAGTTTTACTGCCAGATACCAATCGAATAAAAAAAAGGTTTGGCTGAACAGTGTAGTATACGTGTTTTCTTCATGGCAAACGATTGAGGTACTTGGATTTGCTTAAGGACCCCCCAAAAAAAAAAAATTCCCTAAAGATTTCCAAGTAGTGGATTTTATTGGATTTTTCATTGAGAAATTCAGAAATCGCCAAGGGTATAAACTACTCGTCCAAGGCTTCCCACTGCCCCCAGAATCTTGGACACATACAAATTTGGATCTATCTTGCCACCCCTTCAAGAAATAATCAATGGATTGGTTTAAGGGAAATTTACAGGAAAGCCCCATATTTAATGGAAAAATCTATGTTTTTTTTTTTGTAGGTTTTCCCTTAAACCAATCCATTGAAATAATCTATAGACTCTATAGACTTCCTATGAGTCAAATGTCCTTTTCACATCTTTTCACCATGAAGTATTCATTGGTTGAGGCGCCATTTCTTCAACGCTACATGGCCGCTACGTGGCTGTCCTTCACAGTCGTGGCCAACTGTCAGCTGGCACTTACCATGTCCCTCTCTGAGCAGCTGTGAAGGAGTGGATGTGCCTTGGCGTGCCATGGGGTGATCTTTATGGGTATAACATAGTATAACGATGTATAGCTAGGGTTTTCGGAGCACCAGAAGGTTTCATAGTTTCAGATATGACCCCCACAATTATAATGATGGATGTATGTATATGTGTATGTGATAGATAAATAAATAAATAAAATTAATTAAATAAATAAATAAATACATAAATAAATAAATATATATATATACATTATATATATATATCCATCTACCTACCTGCCTACCTGCCTGCCTACCTACCTACCTACCTACCTATCTATCTATCTATCTATTCACTTCGTTCACTGGAACCCAAGGCCTGGTTCAGCGCCATGGGCCGAGTCACTTGTACCACCGTGCCACGTGTGGGAACTCCTCAGACGAAATGTTTGTAGGAACTACCGCCTTGGAGCGCCCCGCTATGCCCGGCTAGGCCGAGCTGATGGTCCTTCGGGTGAGTCTGAAAGTGTGGGGATTTACACCAACTCAACGGCAATTTTCGTGGGAAAATGATGATCAACTGGCGGATTTGGTGGACTTGAGGGAGATACCCTGTTGTTGGAGCCCAAGTCTCCCATGTTTCGGGTCAGTTTATAACCATCATGTGGAGAAGCTATAAAATGGATCACAATGGCACAAAGTAACTGCCATCTGGTGAAAAGGTGCTGGCCCAATGTCTTTTTGTTGCCTCTCCGGCTGGAACGTTGTGAAATGCTCCTCCAAGCTACAAATGTTAGGAATACAAAAATATGTGTAAATACGTGTATGCATGCATATATATATATGTGTGTGTGTGTGCGTGTGTGTATCTATATATTATATGCGTGTATTTATTTATTTATTCATTTATCTATTTATTTATTTATTTATTCATTTATTTTTTACAGAATGTGTGCATGTGTGTGTGTGTGTTCTTAAGGTATTCAATTTTTATCTACAATCGTATCTGCACAATGCTATGCATGCATGAATGTTCTATATGTTCAAAAGTTGCGAATAATGATGCCACTAGACTAGGTGCCATTCCATTCTTGATCCTTCAGCAGGTAGCTCAACCCTTCTCGCCGCTCCACACCCTTCCAGTGTCTCTTCAGTAGGGTCCCCGAGCAAACTGTGCCGCATCCGCCTGTGACCAGGTTTCATGGATGTGTCTTCACACTACAAGGTTCACAACATATGTCTTGCTTCCAAAGAGGGATGGGGGCCTTTTGGGGGCGTACTTTGAGTTGCAGGTATATGACTATCACAACAACCCTCATAAAGTTGGAAATCATCTGTGACTATGGTTATCCACTTATAACTGGAACTGCCTCCCCAAGTACCCACACTTCAAACACCACTGTTTCCCCATATGGCCAACATCGCCCAGAGGGAAAAGCCTTTGAAGGTTGATAGCCGCCATCGCAGTAACTCCTGCCACAAGGTTTCGGTTCCAGTTGCCATCGACTTTCAGTCAGATCTTAGGAGTGGCGATGTCACGCCAACGCATATATGAATGTCAGACAACATTGATCAAAAATTGCATTTTTGTGATTCTGTATGGAACTGCATGTATCTCTCCTGATTTGCGAATGTGCTAGCTTATGCCCTTGCACGTAGATCGTATTAGATATCTAGTGATTGGCACACAACTGGCCAGGCAACCGGAGCCGCTCTTTTCGCGCATCGCTGGTCTCTTCTGGCACAAAGGTTTGAGTCTGAGGGGTCGCAGCCGCATGGTCCAGGATTCCCCACACCACTACGAGCCCGGAAAACCTGGAGCCTAGGCCTAGGCAACCCGTTTTAAGGGTTTCAGCAACTTGCGCCAAAAGGACCTTAGGAACGCCAGGAATTCCAATAGAAAGAGTTTGTTTTGGAAGTGCCTGTGGGATTCCGAAGGGGACGCACACCTGCAGCTTAGTAGCAGAAATGTCAAAAGACTAGGGCTACTGTAAGGCTGCAGGCTAGAAACTCTACAGTATATTTTGCAACATCATGCAGCTGAAACTCAGTAGCATGCAGTAGCCAGTGGTGCATACATATATAATATTATATAATCATATATGCACGCGCATGTGCAGATCATAAACAGTATACAGTTAGTTATATGTAGTATTTAATTATTATAGTCACATTCCTATATTAAACATCCCTGATAACGATCCCAAATCTGTACCAACCCCCTTGGTTTCTGGGGGGTGGTTGGTCCATGCCGGAGGACCGTTTAGCGACTGGCTGGCAGCCAGGGAGGTCGCCATCCAGCAACTTCTGGGCATATTTCTTCCAGGCATCGGCCAAGGACCAGCCCACCTCACAGTCATTTTTGCGTGGAAAAAAAAGATGTGGAAAGGCCAAAACCCCATGGTTTCCTGGGAAAAATATGATCATCATCTGGAATTATCGTGTCTTTTTTTGCTTGTTTATGGCTTAGTTTCCTAAGTAAGATAGCTGAACATATTCAAGCATAGTCGGAAAATGATGAAGTGCAAGTGGAACATTTGCCAGGGACCACAACTGGCACTACATCAGCTGGGTTTTCCCCAAAACCTTTCGGTCCAGGGAGGCCTTTTTCTTTTAGCCAAGCAGCGTTCAAGCGCATTGCTAAGCCACGGATCAGCAGCGTCATACGACAGAGGAGCACAAACCTGGGGTACGTGAAGTCAAAACCTTGATTGGACAGCTGGAGATGTAGGATTAAGGTAGGTTAAGTCCAAGTCCATCTGATGCGTTCTGTGAATATCATGATCCAAACATGTCTCAGATGTTTTTTGTTTGGATCTATTGGGTGGCATAAGATCTGTGGTTGAACCTCCATTGAGGTGGGATGATTTAAAGCTGCTTTGGATAATCCCGGAACTTAGTCGTGTGCATTGGTTTAAAGCGCACACACACACACATAACATATTAATATATATATATATACACCTGTATGCCTATTAATAAAGTTATATGGTACATTATTAAGTTATATTGTATATGATGTATATATAATATCTATTAATATATACTATGGTACTAGTATTACATGATGACATACTTCAATGACTTCGATACATGTAGACACAGCTATGGCGACTCAACTGTCGATTCCTGCCGTCGAGCCGCTCTCGGGGGAACGACGCCACCTGAGATGATTTCCAGCTGGCACGGCCGTGGAACCTGGTTGTTTTACATAATTTCAACTAGGTTTACATATAGTTTTACCAAGTTCTTACCACATCTAGTTAGTTTCCTTAGTTCGAAACTAAGTCTTTGCAGGACTTTGAAGCCAATATCAATATCTATATATAGCAATGTCTGGATGCCAGTGGATGACACGTTTTTTTTGCTCATCTCGCACTGTATGGCAAGAAATCGCAGGACCTTCGACAGCAATTCAAACCCTGCCAGTCGTGGATGATGCTCTTGCTTTCAAAGCTGTGGATTTGCTATTGCAAGGTTTGTTGCGTTTGAACACCAATTTGAACGGATAACATCATATAACACCGCCATGAAGAATATGAATGTCTGTTGGTTAAGAACGTTCTAACTGCCCATCTCCCAACGCACACCGAGAAACGTCACGCACGGGACAGTTGGGAGAGAGCTCCTTGGACGACGTGGCTTAGCCTAAACCAACATGGACCCACAAATTTCCAGGTCCAATAGAAATAGATAGAAATCCGCCCACACCGCTTTGGCGGTGAAGGCGTGCTTATTGGGGGGCAACAGCAACACTAAATGCTCAATGACATTTGTTAATATAGCAGTCGCTATATCAGCTTTAGCTGGGGGGGGGCAAAAAACGGTTTCGCACCGAGACCAGACCCCAAAAACGGTTTCGCACCGAGACCAGAATACGGTGGTGTTTTCGACATTTTTCGAGGATTTTTGGGTGTCTGAGCGCAAGAGGGTATTGAAATGGAATTTTGGGTCATTTTGGTAGCTTTCCGGCAATGGAAAAACGGCCAAAAATGAAAAAAAACATTGTACATAGCAAGATTTTGCAGGGTTTTTGGATGCCAGAGCATTGAAAATACTGCAAAAACAAGTGTTTTGGACTGACGTTGTAGCAAAAAACGTGTAAATTATTACCGTATGCTTGACTGGAAACATTACAAAAACACTGTCAAAAGCAATGTTTTGGAAGGATTTACTGCCTTTATGGCAAAAAACGTGTAAATTACCGTCTGTTTGACTGGAAAAATTGGAAAAACACTGTCAAAAACAATGTTTTGGAAGGATTTCTTATATATATGTTGGAGTTGGCTACCGGCATTGGAACATGGAAAAATTGAAGAAAACACTGTAAATAGCAGTATTTTCAACGGTTGGGGAGATAAGGGAATTGGAAGCATTGTCGAACATGATGTTTTCGACCGGTTTTATGGCGACAAAAGTGTAAAGTACCGTGCTTTGAAGGAAACCGTTGCAAAAACATGGAAACACATTCAAAGAACACGGGATTTGGGGGACTATCTAGGCGTCGTTGTCTAGCTATTTGAAATTCCGCAGCTTGGAGAGCCTCCAAGGGAGGGAAAAGTGAAAATTCCATAGCTTGGGAAGCTGTCACTGAAAATTCCCTAGCTTGGGAAGCCCCCACGGGGGGGAAAAGTGAAAATTCCCTAGCTTGGGAAGCCCCCACGGGGGGGAAAAGTGAAAATTCCCTAGCTTGGGGAGCCCCCACGGGGGGGAAAAGTGAAAATTCCCTAGCTTGAGGAGCCCCCACGGGGGGGAAAAGTGAAAATTCCCTAGCTTGGGGAGCCCCCACGCAAGGGAAAAGTGAAAATTCTTAGCTTGGGGAGCCCCCACGGGGGGGGAAAGTGAAAATTCTTAGCTTGGGGAGCCCCCACGGGGGAAAACCACCCTTAGCCCCTCTCACGGACCGAAATAAACTTGCGGTGTGGGCGGCCACCCCACGCGAAGCGGGGTGAATATGTCCATGTTCAGTAGAAACATATATAATAGTACGGTAATCTTCCAAACCCAATCTTTGAGTTCCATATTAATTTACTGAAGTTCCATATTAATTTACTGAAGGGGCTGAAGGGTATCTGTCTATCTGTCTATCTATCTATCTATCTATCTATCTATGTGATTGGAATTGATGGCATTGCTGCTTTTCTAATTTAGTAACCCTTTAGGGCGCTTTAGGGCGTATCATAGCAGTACCGAGACTAAGAATGGTATCAACTATCACCATGTTTTTTGTCTCAAATGCTGCCTCCATGTCCATGTCCATATCCAAATCCGACTGCCCTACCTCATTTGCATGGAACACCAACATCCGTAAATTAAAGGTCCACCGGTAAAGTCGACTATGCCAGCCTCACAAAAATTATGCAGCAAAGGAAACATGGAAGCTGAAAGTGGCGGCATGTTCAGGTTCCGCCCTAAGTGGCCTTTGCATCTCCTTCATTACCCATTGTCTCACCTCGTTCTTCTCACTAGTTTGGACATGTTTGGACCGCCTCACATTTCCCCATTCTGGCTGCATTTGAAAAATGGATAAAATTGGGATGATTTTGGGGGTACTCTCCCCTTCTTTGATATGGACGTGGAGGCCAAGAAAACGTCCCACTAACATGGACGTGCATCTGGTAAAAAAACAATAAATTCTCACTATCAAGGACGTGTTCCGCCCAAAACTTCGCTAACAAGGACGTGGTGCATCTGGTAAAAACCATCAAAATTTAGCTAACAAGGACGTGGTCCTCCCAAAATTTAGCTAAAAAGTGTACACTAACATGGACGCTTCCAAAACTGGAAAAAGTAAGAAAAAACACTAACATAGTACGTGCGTCCATTTTCTCAATTTTCAGCGTCCAAGTCAGAATAATTACTGGAGAGTACCTCCTCTTACAATTCACTCACTCAGATCCGGGATCGCCCAGGGCGCATTGGCTTCATAGCCATCCGGCAATTCACGTCTGCTGCTGTCAAAGAGCCACAAAGCCAGCGCGCCTGGATCATGAGTAAGGATTGAGCTTCCTAAAAGATCCATGAGATAATTTCAGATAATTTCAGATATCAGAGCTGGGGCCTGCCTTTACCGGCCTTTCGCTTTACTATCTTTACTGTGTGTGAAAATTCTGTCGTCGCCCCGGGCCGCGGCCTGCGCAAGAGGGCCCTGCAGAGGGCAGAAATTCCACTCCTGGGGTGCCAAGTCATCAGGGATGCCCCATTATGTTTCGCTATGTCATTGAATGTGTTTCGCGTTTTGTTCGCAGTGATTTTTTCTGGTTTCATTGAAGATTTGGAGGTTCCAATTTTAGGAAACCATCAACTACGTTATACATAGTCATACATTGAAATACTGGTTGGCTCTGGTTGGTTCAGAACGGGATTCCCATAAAATAAACAATGATTATGACCATCCCAAACTAATATACATTGAATAATACGACACTCCAAATCATTGACCAACAGGTGGCCTTTCTCTTCCAAGTGTCCCATGTCTTTAGCAAAGCCGCCCAGCGATTGCAGAAAGAGCTTGGCTTTCTCCTCCTAAGAAATGCAAGGGAGCGAACCAGGAATGAGTGAGGTCCAGCGAGGTCATAAAACCAGCACTGAATATGGAAGGGAAAAGCAGCGCGACGGCCATGATTGCAGCTACCAGATTCACTGGTCAATTCAATTCTGTGCAAAATCCCCCTTTGGGGATCCCCAAAGCCATGATTTTTCCATCGACGTCCTCACCCAACATCTGGTTGTACTCTGAAACTCGAAGCATCAGTTCCGCCACCTGGCGCTCCGGGATCTGTTCATTCGATCTCCAACAAAAGGCTGGTTAGGAAGACAGCTCTTGTTGCATCTTATTGCCTTTTTTTGGCCAGCGTGAGCCCACTACCTGCCTGTTTCCGGAATTTGAAATTGATCCTCAGTGGGACGTGGGAACTACATGGAACTACTTGATCAAGGACAACTTTGGGTGGGATGTGGGTATGGCCGGGTATGGATCCAAAATATTCAAACCGCGAATGGTCTTGGTTCATAGACAGTATCGAAATCTCCGGGCCTGCTGGAACTTCGTTGTTGAGCCCTACTGCAAGGGCGGTTACCTGGTGGATGTTTCAACTCCCCACTATCGTCCCGGATGCCAAGCATCTGCTTGGTCTGGCCGAAGTCAATTAGGGCAATGGAACCATCTGGCCTTGCAGCTGGGAAAACCACTTTTGGAAGACATCTCTAAGCGACCCATATCTCTCCAAAGACCACCTGCCACCAACCAAACACAGCCAAGTACCGTACGTGATGGGGCACTCTTGGTCCACATGTTTTTCTTGGTTTTACCCTCTGTTAAAATAACATGGACCCTGAAAATAGCCTAGTTTTAATGGAAACTAATCTTCCAAACCCTATCTGCCAGGGTCTATGTTAATTTACCAGAGGGTAAGGTGCGAAGAAAACAGTAGAAACCACCTTGAATTGTTGAGAATTTCACTTTTTCAGAGGCGACAGTCGGCCTGATGAAAATATTCCCAGGATGTGGATCTGCGTGAAAAAAGCCCTCCTCAAAGACCATGACACCAAAGGCTTCCGTCAAGGACGACAGCAGCTTTCGACCAAAGACCTGCTCGAATGCCCAAAGACCGACATGGCAACATGGGCCAACCATAGCAGCCATGTGGATTTCTATGTTTACTCGAGAGTTTCAAGGATTTTCTACCAACATGGAGATCAAATCATTACAGACCTCTGTTTCAGACAGGCATCACGTCACCAAACTCTTGGCCGCAAATGACCGCAACTCCAAATACGTCACAACTTAAGGCTTAAGGTGTCCACATTGCCAAGTCCCCATGTTTGTCGGAAATGTGGATACCCCTGGCTCCGAACCGCTCAAACTCCGTTCCACTGTGAAAAAGTATTCGTTTGATGGAAAAACATCATCAAACTACCATCCTCGACATCGACCTTTGGGGTCGCAAGCCTCCATGACTAAGTCTTCTTTTTTGGGGGTGCTATACTCTTATCATCTCTTATCACATTTGATACCGGTATTCCCATGATATTCCCACTGTGTTCCCATGTTCACTCCCATTATAATTCCATGATATTCCCGCCATATCCTGATTGCTGGTTCTATCATCTTGTATCCACGTTACATCCCCAAAGCCTACAAGGTCAGCTATAAATACCATGAAATCCCAATTTTTTCCTGGTTAAATCATGTTACATCATCATTTTCCCATGGGTTTTCTGGTTTTTTCCATCATTTTTCCATCATTTTTCCATAGTTTTCCATAGTTTTCCCACGTTTTTTACATGGCTTCAACGGCTGCCCCGGTGACCCCCAAGGCCGTTCCTGCTCCGCGAGCGAGCCCGGCTCGATCTCGATGCCGCGCCGCTTCAGCTCCTCCCGGAGCTGCGACAGCGGCGCGCCCGGGACGAAGTCCATGCAGAGCACCTGGGAACGTCGGCTGATGGAAGGGAGAAGGGAGAAGGGATATATACATCAAATATATATGGAAAACTATGGAAAAATGATGGAAAACTATGGATATATGTGTGTGTGTATGTATATGTATATATGTATATATGTATATATGTATATATGTATATTGTGATTGACAATTAGTCAGATCACATGGTAGCACCTCCAAAGCAAAAACCCACAGCGCAAGCCCAATCTGTTTTGTCAGACCTCGCAGATGGATCAATATGGCAAAACGCCTTGAGTAAGGCACAGAGAATCGCTTGGCCAAGCTAGGCCTTCCAGTTTCTGAATGAGTGAGCCCCAGGCTCTATGTTCCACTGTGGCGACCACGCCACCAAACCAGTAAGCACAAAAATGGCTAGCACGATTCCCACAACCCTATGCCCACTCCTTAGGCTGACCCTGAGCCAACGTGCTTCACGAGGAGAGACAGTTTGGATGATTGTTCCTGGCATCATAGAGCTGGAGGGCAAACCGGAAATTGGTGGTTGCAATGATGTAGATTCACACTCCCAAAAAATCATAGTTGAAAGAAAGAAAACATTCATCATTGCAACCTTCGGCTTCAGGCTCCTTGCAAGAACTGCGAAGCCATTTGAGACGTGTTCTTGTTGACGCACGGCTCTTCAAAACTTCCAGTTCGTCATGTAGCTTGTACATTCCGATTTTGAGAGTTTCTCTCAAAAACCCACTGTCCATTATTTTGGTGAGGCTATCTGCAAGTTGAGCCCCTGAGTGCACCCATCTTAGCTGCACCCCTTCCTGGAGCATGTCTTTGATGGACCGGGCATTGAGCATGGTTCTGTACTCTGCACAATTGGGAACAGCTGTCCGAGTGACCAGATCGTATAAACTCTTGCAGTCAGTGGCTGCTAGGCTGTCAGGGAGTCTCTGGGACTTATAGGTAGCTGTGGAAAAGGATTCAGGGAGTTTACCTAGGGCATGACTAGGACGTTTCCATTCAACCCTTGGGTCTAGCATCCATCCCCAACACAGTCGCAACCAGGACAAATGATCAAGTACAGAATTCAACGAAACTGTTTCAGCTGCTAAGGTGCTTGTCACCACCCGTTGGATTTTCTTGCAACCCCATGCCAAAGGACTTACAGGACAGGACACATTATCTGAAATCAGTTTATGAGTACCCATGATCATACTACCCGTGTGAGAACTGGGATTACCTTTTGATGCAAAGGAGGCGTCGGAAAATGCCAAAAAGCGAAAGTCATCAACTGGGATTGGTTGAATGATAACTGTGGTGTTGCTGTGTTTCTTGGCTTCATGTAAGGTTTGATTGGCCAGGGTAAGGGTATTTACTGTTGCACTGTTAATTGCTGATTGTAGTTGGCTCAATCGGCTGGCAAGGTCAGGACGGGTGTGAACAGCAGCATACTGGAGGCTACCGATGATGGCACGTAGGCTTTGCCTTTCTGACTCAGTCACCTTTTCCTCTCCTTGGTTCCTTCTGTCAGTGGAAATTTTGATGGGTTCAATGGCATTCACATATTTACTCTGATTCATGGTTATGGTTCCGTCTGGCTGTTGGTTCATTTCAATTCCGGTGAAAGTAAATTGTTGTACCTTTTTGGAACCAAAAGGATACTTCTTTTCAAGCTGATTAATTTTGTCAGAAAAGTATGGGGAACCCCCGCATATGCCATCATCTACATGGAGACCAAGTACGCCCTCTAGTTTTCCAGTTTGGTGGTGTCGGAGGATGTACTGGCATGGATCAAACGGACTTTGTGAGAATCCCAACTTCAACAGTTCTTCGTTGATGGCTTGATACCAAAGAAATGGTGCATCCACAAGACCGTATGCTCCTTTTTCAAGCTTACACACTTCTGCTGTGGAGAGTTGTAAGGCTTGTATGAGTTCTGGAACAGGCTCAATGGCTAATGTACGATCTCCTTGGGTTTTTCCTTGGAGAAAGGCTGCCTTGATGTCGAAGCATCGGAGAGTCCAACCCATGGATGCAATCAGTTGCAGTGACAACATCTTTGCATTCCGTCCCAGGGTGGGTGAGTCCCTGGGGAGATTTTCGAGTTGGGGATCTAAATATCCTAATATTACAAGTCTAGCCTTTGCCTTGGACTTTTGGGTCTGAGACTTATCTGGATTATCTTCAGGGTCTATTGGTTTCCAAGTGAGGATCCACCGGCATCTGAGGATCTGGTCATGTGGAATTTTGTCCCTCAAGATTCTGGAAATGGTTCCTGTTTTGATCCAGTTTTGAATCTCGGATTCCTTCGCCTGCTGAAACTGTTCTCTTTCCGTCGGTGTCAAAGTGGACAACTTGACTTCAGAGCGCTGTCGTTTGGCGGCTGAAGCAACAAAAGCCATGTGTTCACTGTGGCTTTCTTGTTTCCAGCTCTGAATGTCATTGTCATTGACCACAATTTCACATCGCCATGCCATGTCCGTTCCGTCCGTGATCAAGCTTGTATCCCCATCATCATCTATGCAATAGATTCCTTCACATGTGAGTCCATCTTCATCATCGGGTATTGGTGTTTCAATGCCAGGAATGTTAACATCATATGGGCTTGGATCTCGGGTTACTCGAGGGTCATTGAGTTGGGGATTATGATTCTCTTCAGGGTTAATAGTGGTGGTGGATGGTGTGGTCTGATGTGATGGAATCTCCGGTTCTACGTCTGGTTGACCTTCGGAGGATTCTTCATTCTGAGTTTGAGGTGGATTCAGTGGTGGCATGTCCATGGGGACATTGGTGATGGGAGTTATTGGAAAGTTATCAATGGCTCTGGTTATCCCTTGTGATTGAAAATTGGACAATTGTTGTGCTATGGTGGATACTGATGGTTCATTGGTCATTAATGGGATCCTTCGGGACTCATGGGCTGACACTGGGCGAACATGTTCAGGTGAGCATCTATAGAGTTTACTGCACTGGGTGGTCCATATGGTCTGGGAATTTTCATGTACTACTATCTTCATGGGACCCGCCCAAAACCCTGGTTGTGTGCCCTTTCCCGGTCGCCAACACATCACCCATTCTCCTGGACTATATTGCTGATCACCGGGGCGCGAACGGCGCAGCATCGCGCGCCTGAGAGCTGCATCATTGTCAGCTTGGATAAAGGCATGTCGGGCACATTCGCGGCGATCAAGTTGCCGCTTGAACGCGAGGCCCTGTGCAGTTTCCGATTCTGAAAACATGTGTGCGGGCAGCAATTCATCACTGCAGACTGCGCCTGGGATACGGGTGTGTTTGCCAAGTACAAGAACTTCCGGGGCATACCCACGCTTCAAGCTCATTGCATTTTTGGATTGCGTACACCAGAAAAGCGCTTGGGCTAAGTCATGATATAGCTCAATCGGATGTTCAGCATCGTATTTGCTTAGCATGGTCTTGAGGATGGCTCCATGTCTTTCGGCTTTCCCATTTTGATACTGTGCCTCTGTGCTGATGGTGGTGACCCGAATGTTATGCCTTTGTGCAAACGTGCTAAACTCTTCGGAATTGAACTCTGTGGCAGCATCCACTATCATCTCCGTGGGACACCCTGCCCATGATAGCCACATGTCACTCAGTGTTTGAATGGCGGTGGTGGATGATCTATCGGGGGCTATTCTGGCAACCTGGAAACTTGTCGACCAATCAACGACATGGTAAACATGAAATAACTTGCCATCCTTGTTATTCCACTGAAAACCATCGATGCATATTCGGTCATTAAAATCTCCTTCATCACGCAACGTGCTTGGCCTGGCCAATTTGGGAATGCCTTGTTCTTGACACACCGAACACTGGAGATCTAATGCCGCACGGGCCACCTCAGCTCTGTACCCCTGGGATCGCAAAACAGCACTTAATCTTTCTGGACTAGGGTGACCTAGATTCTTGTGGGCTCGGATCAAAGAAATCTGTTCATCTCGGGGCAGAGCCTTGAATCTGGCTCCATGCGTTTGGCTCTCTGCGTCAGCTCTTTGGGAGCTGGTGAGGTCTGCGGAACTCGGTGTTCCCATGCACTGTTGTGACGCTTCAGGATTGGCTTCTTCGAGACAGTCCTGGTTGTCGGATGCAGGCGAATTGATGCGCCTAGTGTCGGGCACGGCTGGCTCGGCATTTGATGTCTCGGTTTCTTTCCTGGGGACCTCACACACAGGCTCTCGGGTGTTCCCAAATATCGTCAGGTTGATTCTGGTGGCATGGGAAGGACGAATCAGGTTACGCTCTGCCAACATTTCCCAATTCTCCCAGTCTTCTTCGGCACGAATCTCTCCGGACCCTCTTTCAGTGAAGACCCTTCTACGGAAAGGGGCAAGACCCTTGACTAGTGTGTCTGGTGGGGCAAGTGTCCTACTGGCTCCCCTGCAGGCTATCAAAGTGTGGATCGTTTTTTCTGGGATCAACTTTTGGACTGACGCAAGGATTTCATCATCGTGGATTACTGTTTTTCCTCCTCTGGGTAAGGAGTGATGTAATCTTTCAAAAATCCCTTTCCACGTGCTCAAACCATCAATTGGGGTAGTCTTTCCCACACACTTTTGACGTTTTCCCCATGGCATTTTGGAGACATCACGGACTCGGCTGATCTTAAGAGAGGTGTAACGCTCACGTCGGGCTCTCTTGGGTGCAGGGGCTTCCGGGTGCTCTTCGACTGCTAAGACACCCCAGGTTTCATTTCTGTACACAGGTTCTGGTGGAATTTGAACTTTTCCCATCACCATGGCTAGTCTTCGGGCGAATTTTCTGGGATAATTCTCAGTGAAAGTGGATCGATTTATGGCCTTTCCTTGAACATGAGTCTTTCCTTCAATGGTCTGATGTTCATGTTGATGATTACATCTCAAATTGATGAGGGACCTTACCATGTTGTTGGACGTCGTCATGATGGTTAGGGTCTTTCGGATCAATTTACCATTTTCGGGATCTTTCAGTTCACCTGCTGTGCACAAGTCAACATCCACTGACAGGAGGTAGTACAATGCTTCTTGAAGATATGGCAATTTGAACATGAGGGGCCCCCGTGGTTGTTCCCAGTGAAAATGGCGATTCTGCTGTCGTTGAAACCTCAGTAACACGATTCCAAGGGCTACCTGTTCTAAGTGGCGCATCCGGGACTCCTGCAGGGCATCCCAAGACTGAACTGACTGACTGCCGTTCAGACATGAGAATCCACTCCACGGGCCACAGCTGGGGCTAAACCAAAGATTCTGCGGCCTATGCCTGCAAACTGTTTGAAACAACTTTTCACGGCCATCCGCCGTCTGGAGATTCCCCTGCTGCAAACCAAAACGATCAGCTCGGAATCCAAGTCGCTGGGATTGGTGAGTTAACTGGCTCTGTGCGCTACAAAATACTTCTAGGAGGTTGAGGCGGGAATGTGCAGTGTCGGTACTTTTGTAAATCTTGGAAAGTTCTCTGGAGAATTGCTGCACAAGTTGATTGAATCTGATGGCTTCTTGATTGGCTTCTGGGGTGGACGTGAGGTCAGTATGGAACATAGCATCTGCACACACATCTCCGGCTAACTCACGATGGGCCATGCTGGGACATTCAGTCACACTCACTGCTCGTTGTTGCGGTTCACAACCAAGTTCTGGAGATGCAGATTGATGTTGTTCAGCATGACTTCCAGCTTCAGCACTCTGTTCTCGAGCCGTTCGGTCTGCTGGTTTGGTGCTTCTCCCGTCTCGGTCGTGATCATCTCGAAGAAGTTGGCGTCCTCCTCCTCGTCCCACACGGAGATCTCGGGGACATGGTGAGTCGGGTGCTTTTCCTGGCATTGGGCTCCACTGTTCATCTGTGACGACTGTGTTGGGGCACTGTTCATGTTGATCTGCTTGTTTCCGAAAAGCTCGGCTTGCTCGATCTCGAGCTCGACGTAGCGCAGGAAACTTTGATGTTCTATCTTGGTGGACTGGGCAAATCGTTGAACAAACCAGGTGATCCAGCCTTGTTCTTCCTTCCACATCTTGAGAAAGGTCTTCCCCTGGTGAGTCTTCCCAAATGAGATCTTCTGCTCCCTCAGCTGTCCCAACGATAACTGCTGTTGGTCTGAGCGGCTCTCTTCGGTGGTCTTTTGGATTTTCTGCGACCTCTGCGCCAAGCTGGTCATGGCACTTTCGGAGGATCGTTAGAAAACCTCGGGGCAGGGGTTTGGGCCGATCTGGGCGCTGTGGAACCTGCTCATGACTGATTTCCAGAGATTGACCTCGAGAAATTGATGATTCACGGTGACTGCAGCAAACTTCTGAAACTTTGGTTCGGTCCGGAGCTGCTGGCAGGTCTTTTGGCTCTGATATGTTGTTCTGTTCGGTCTCATCAATTGCTGGATGAGTCTCTGCCGTTGGAAAAACTCTCTTCTGGCCCGGTAGTTGTTGAGCCAGTACATTTAAATCAAGGAGAAACAAACCCTTGCTGGTGAGCTGCAAAGGAAACGACCTGTTGAGCTTTCTGGAAAACAACACATGGTTCTCGGTGTCAACCGTGGCACACAAAGCTCTCAGCAAGGTGCTGGACAAGAGAAACGGAGTGGATCCCGGCACAACAGCAACTTTCAATTGCAAACCGTGAATAGGTATGACCAGTGCAAACTTGCTCTGCAAGACTCCATGATTACCAAATCGGAAAGTGATGACACATGGGCACCGAAAAACTTGTGATCTGATTGCTGGATCGAGGTTATCTAATAAACCCTTTACCAAATTGCTCCCTATCACAGTCTTGGTGGCACCGAGATCAACTATTCCCATACAGCCGTGAGATGCAAAACACACGGAATCAGGTTCAGCTCCGGTGCATTGGTCAGAGCTGGTGGTGGGCACCTTCTGCTTGGCTCGGGCAGCCAGTCTGGCTCGCATCTGGGCACTCATCGGTTCATTCCTGGCAGTGGTATTGGAGTGAGCGTGAACAATTTTCCAGGCTTGTAGTGAGGCATGAAGGTTATCCTTGGGGTTATGTTGAATGGTGGTTACAAATGAAAATTGAACATTATGCTGAGAGGCATCCATGGTGGTTTCGGCATGAAGTGGCAAGTTCAGAAACTCCAAAGGCAACCCATCGGAGACTTCACGTACTTCGGCTTGGGGCACCTGCACGAACGTTGTGGGGACTTGTGGAGCTCGTGCATGGGCAGTTGTGGACTCAGACCGACTGGGGCACTCAGCCTTCCAATGCCCTACCTTTCCACACAACCGGCATCGTGACTCCAATATCCTTTGCTGCAGTGACTTTCGGGAGGACGGGTGTCCTTTCTGGAACTTGCCCTTTGGGCCCTTGGTGAGCCCCTTGCCTTTTCCTTTGTTTGCGATTGGCCAGAATCCTCTGGACCTGACTTTGTCATTGAGACGTCTCCGAGCATCCTGGTAAGAGGTAAAGGCGGCTGCCAGTTCCTCATCAGTCTGTAATACTTCTGTGGCGGCGGCTTCAAAATCAGCTACCAGCGAGGCATCTTCGTCTCCCTCCTGCACTAACGTTTCAACCAGCTGTTCTTCGTCTTCAATCCCTTCCATGGCCATGGTGGGCTGGTCGGATTCAGTACCCTCCATGTCCTCGGCGGCCAGAGCTGATTGGTCGTACGTTTTCAGTTTGGAGACTTTGCGACCCGCTGTCATCTCCTGGAAGAAACCTGCCCCCAACATGCGAATAGAGGAGCTGACTCGGGACACTGTCAATTCCCCTTTGTCAGCGACATCGGCATCAATGAGTACACGCTTCTTGTCTTCCGCTGAAAGCATGCTACCCCTCAGTGTCACATAGGCTTGTAGATCGTTGATCTTGAACTGGGTGTTGTTCAACTCCGTCCACATGATGTCTGCACGTGCTAAATAGCTGTCAGCGCTTTCATCACCTTTCTGTGCACACTTGTACAAGGCTCTCTCAGCAAACTCGTACCGACGTTCCAAGGGGATTTGTCCCCAATGACCTCCTAGCAGCTCTATGATCCTCTGAATCGACTTCCGTTCATTCTGGGTGATCTCGGCTTGATGCAGTTGTAACTTCTTGAAGGCGGATCCACTACAGTTCAGTATCAGCCGGGTGGCTAATTCACTATACTTTGCAGATGGCCATGCCTCCAACAACAGTTCAACCTTTTGAGTATACACCTGAAGGTCGTCCTTGCTGGGATCAAACGATGGTACCAAGACTGCCAACTGGTTCGGGACTGTGTTGGAACCCTCTGATGACTCTGTCATGCGCTGCGGTGGAGCAGCTTGTTCTTCTTCACCTTGACTTTGACCTGGATCTTCCGTTTGCGGAACGGTAGCTCCGCTACCAGTGTGATTGACAATTAGTCAGATCACCTGGTAGCACCTCCAAAGCAAAAACCCACAGCGCAAGCCCAATCTGTTTTGTCAGACCTCGCAGATGGATCAATATGGCAAAACGCCTTGAGTAAGGCACAGAGAATCGCTTGGCCAAGCTAGGCCTTCCAGTTTCTGAATGAGTGAGCCCCAGGCTCTATGTTCCAATGTGGCGACCACGCCACCAAACCAGTAAGCACAAAAATGGCTAGCACGATTCCCACAACCCTATGCCCACTCCTTAGGCTGACCCTGAGCCAACGTGCTTCACGAGGAGAGACAGTTTGGATGATTGTTCCTGGCATCATAGAGCTGGAGGGCAAACCGGAAATTGGTGGTTGCAATGATGTAGATTCACAGTATATATGTATATATATGTATGCATATAGCTGGACATATGTATAAATATATATATATGATTATATATGTATATTGCGTTTTGACCATCACGAATGGGAGAAGAACATGGGAATTAAGTCCATCAAAATAGGAATAACCCTGAAATGAAGGATAGGGTTTGAACTTTGTTGTTTTTTCAAACTGCAAATGGTATGGGAATTCAAGGAATACAAGGGTTTAACATTGGTTAACCAACCAAAATGAGACCGCATGAGTGTGAATGTGTGGCGTCCCCATGGGCCCCCGGGCTTTTCCCTTCATTCAATCCAAACTTGGGAGAGTGTGGAGGTTTCTGGACCGCGTAAGTAAGAATGGGGGCATCTTTGGAATATATTATATATATAATATATAATATATAATATATAATATATAATATATAATATAATATATAATATATAATATATAATATATAATATATATAATAATAATAATAATAATAATGATAATAATAATGATAGTAATAATAATAAATGATATAAGAATAAGATTAATAATGAAAATAATAATGAAAATAATAATATATAATAATAATAATAATATATAATAGTAATAATAATATAATATAATATAATATAATATATAAGGCAAAATAGGAAGGATGTGATCAAAGAAAATCATTGACAATAAACGCCAATAGACTTTGCGGCAATGCATTCAACAAGATACTGAATATTGGCCAAGCCATTCAGGCACCCTTTTCGTGAGGAGGGTGCCGGCTTAACTGTTCCAAAATCAACCTATTTCAGATGTGGATCCCATATCATCTAATTACCCGTGCCTGGGGCTGTTCCATAAGTTGACTTTTACCTACTTGGGTGTATCTGAAAATGTGGTGTGACCCAAAGTAATCATGTTTACATGGAAAATGAGCTTCGGTTCTAAACCATCAAATGTTGTGGGTTTTTCCATGTTTTCCCTTACTTTCTCAGAGAACCCACTCACAAATGCCACGTCACCCGCTTGGATGTCAAGCCCGGGATGCTGCGCGGCACCAGCACCACCGGCCGCCGGCCGCCGCGCTCCAGCGCATCCGCGATGCGGTCCATGCCGTTGGCCTCTGCCGTGAAGTCGAACTCATCCTGAAGCTGCCTGAAGTGCGATGGGAAAATAACGATTGTCATTAATGAGGGTAAAACAATAATAAACCATCCCCCAGTCATCACCCTTTTTGTAGGTGGTATAAACCATTCCAAAATGGATGGTTTATTATTGTTTTACCCACATTAATCATATTGTTCCCATCTCCCTATTAAGCACCCCGGTCCCAAGTATGTGGAAATTCCCTACTAAACCAGGTTTTCAGGGGGGTGTTTAATATTGGGGAGATGGGATTATTATTATCATTGTCAATTATTGTTATATTGATGATTGGTATCATTATTATTGACATGTTAGTGCTGTTATTAGTGTTATCATCATCAATGGTACGTATTGTTGTTCTTACTATTATTAAAACATTGTTTTTAGCATTATTATTGCTCTTATTGTTGGTGTTAACATTAGAATCATTGTTTTGAATATTCCACACTATTGTCGGATAATGCTTTTTACAGACATTTACAGTATATACCGTTTGTATGTGAATGTGTGCATTCTGTTGTGCCTTTGATTGTGCTTGTGTGCAGTTTATGTATGTGTTCCAATGTTTCTATTTCTACGGAAGGCGATTGAGCCTCTCTGTTGTGGAGCTACGTTGAAAGCCGCGCATCTGTAGTCCATTTTTTGTTCATACCCTCTGGTAATTTAACATAGCTATTGAAAATGACCATAGAAATTTTTGGATTTACCCATTAAAATGGTGATTTTCCATAGTTATGTAAACGTTTACCAGAGGGTATCAAGGGAAGTGTGTCTAAATCATACAATCGTTTGCTACGATTGATTCCATCATGATCATCATGGCTCAAGTTCGAAAAAAATGCGCATCGCACTTCAGACATATAGACATCTTGGTTCAAATTAAGTTGAATCTTGAACGTTTTTATTATTTAATGACCAAAGTAATTCTGTGGCTTCGAATTCCTTTTCTGAAGGGGTACCATCTTCAAAATGGATCGAACCATCACATATCATCACATTTCATGGCAATTGCGATATATACATTAATATACCTTCATTGAATTTGAAACAATATCCCGATATATCCCGATATCCCTTGGAAATGTGATCCATGAGATGCAACAACTCATTTAGCCCGGCTAGTTGCCAAACCATGAAATGTTCTGCCGCATACCGCCGGCACAAGCCATTGTGATTCCCACTTAACGATGACATGACCATCCCTACTGTATGGTGCATCTACCTATCTATCTGATCTGATCTAGTCTAGTCTGGTCTAGTCACTGGTCTAATCTATATTATATTTATATAATCTATATTATATTTATATAATCTATATTAAATCTATATTATATTTATATAATCTATATTATATTTATATAATCTATATTAAATCTATATTAAATCTATATTAAATCTATATTAAATCTATATTAATCTATATTAAATCTATATTAAATCTATATTAAATCTATATTAAATCTATATTAAATCTATATTAAATCTATATTAAATCTATATTAAATCTATAATCTATATAATCTATAATCTATATAATCTATAATCTATATAATCTATATAATCTATATAATCTATATAATCTATATAATCTATATAATCTATATAATCTATAGAGTAATCTATATAATCTATATAATCTATCTATCAAATCTAACATTTCGCCCTAAGCCACGAAAAAAAATTTGGACTCCCCTTCCACCGGTCATCAACTCTGCCAGGTCTCTCTTCCAATTCGCAGCAAACCAGGTAGTAATCCACTGGGAAAATCTCCCTCGTGATCATGGAGAAAGTCTTGATGACCTCACAGAGGTGGTTCCTGGCACCTCTGATGGCTTGAGTCCAACAGTTGGACTAAGATCTATCAGAATCTAGCAATTTCCTCAGGAGAAACGAGAACATTCAAAAAACCTAGAGCCACCACCTCAACTCCAAAAAACATCGGAACTCATCTCCGATTTCCCATAGCCATGGCCTTCCCTTCTGATCCTCGTCACCCGGTAGATTCCCCTCCCGTCATCACTGTCATCACCGATCCCAGGTGCGCTGATGTCACTCATCAAGCGCCGCTCCACGTTGGGACGTTGCACCTTCACCGCCACTTCCCGACCCGTCCGGAGCTTGGCACGATGCACCTGGTACCACTGGGGCTGTGGAGAAACAAACAGCCCAAATGGCGCAAATAGATCCAAAATCATCCAAATATATCCAAATAAGCTATTTAGGATGATTTTGTTGGTTTGGGCCCATTATAAAATATTATATCATCATGGAAACGCGCATTGTAAATATAGTCTCAAAGCAAAACACCACCATCAACATCGGGAAGTGGATACATATGTAGGCTTCGGGAGATTACCCTGGGACTTCAGCACCATTTTTCTCTGCCATGTCAGAAACAGATTCGATGCGCACATCAAAGAAATACATTATGATACCTCATACATCCAGGTGTCATTTCTCTTTCCGTGGGTGCCTCCTTTGAAACATGCATTTTCAGACTCCCAGGTGCGTATTGAATCAAATTCTGACGCTGGTACAAAGCTATGGCACACTGCACCACTGGAAAACCCTAGTGAGTGAATTTGTTTCTATAAATGCGTGCTGGCATGCTAGTTGATATTCACAATAAATCTGATACATTCACCAGGTTTTTGTTGGCCACATGCTATCACCCTCCCCGGCTCCAAATCGCCGTCCTACCTGAGCGATGGAGGCACTGCCCAAGGGCTTCTCGTCGAAGAACTCGAAGACCTGCCGGGGGATCGTCACGATATGTCACGATTCGTGGTTGGCAACATAATTGTTAATGGTGATTAATGGATTCTTAGTGGGGATAAATATGGATTAATGATGATTAATGATGGATAATGGTGATTAATGGTGATTAATGGTGATTAATGGTGATTAATGGTGATTAATGGATGGTTAGTGGGGATTAAATGGTTATGGTGATTAAATGGTGATGAATGATGATTAAATGATGGTTAATGGTGATTAAATGGCTATGGTGATTAAATGGTGATGAATGATGATTAAATGATGGTTAATGGTGATTAAATGGTTGTGGTGATTAAATGGTGATGAATGATGATTAAATGATGGTTAATGGTGATTAAATGGTTGTGGTGATTAAATGGTGATGAATGATGATTGAACGGTTATGGTGATTAAATGGTTATGGTGATTAAATGGTGATTAATGATGATTAGATTATGGTTAATGGTGATTAAATGGTTATGTTGATTAAATGGTGATGAATGATGATTAAATTATGGTTAATGGTGATTAAATTGTTATGGTGATTAAATGTTGATGAATGATGATTAAATTATGGTTAATGGTGATTAAATCGTTATGGTGATTAAATGGTGATGAATGATGATTAAATGATGGTTAATGGTGATTAAATGGCTATGGTGATTAGATGGTGATTAAATGGCGATGAATGATGATTGAATGATGGGTAATGGTGATTGAATGGTTATGGTGATTAAATGGTGATGAATGATGATTGAATGATGGTTAATGGTGATTAAATGGTTATGGTGATTAGATGGTGATGAATGATAATGGTGATTAAATTGTTATGGTGATTAAATGGTGATGAATGATGATTAAATTAAATGATGGTTAATGGTGATTAAATGGTTATGGTGATTAAATGGTGATTAATGATGATTGAATTATGGTTAATGGTGATTAAATGGCTATGGTGATTAAATGGTGATGAATGATGATTGAATGATGGTTAATGGTGATTAAATGGTTATGGTGATTAAATGGTGATGAATGATGATTGAATGATGGTTAATGGTGATTAAATGGTTTTGGTGATTAATGATGATGAAAATGATGATTAAATTATGGTTAATGGTGATTAAATGGTTATGGTGATTAAATGGTGATTAATGATGATTAAATTATGGTAAATGGTGATTAAATGGCTATGGTGATTAAATGGTGATGAATGATGATTAAACTATGGATATATAATGGTGATTAAATGGTTATGGTGATTAAATGGTGATGAATGATGATTAAATTATGGTTAATGGTGATTAAATGGTTATGGTGGTTAAAATGGTGGTTAATGATGCTTAAATGATTGTTGATGGCGATTCAATGGTTATGGTGCTTAAATGGTGATTAATGAGATTAATGATGATTAAATGATGGTTAATGGTGATTAAATGGTTATGGTATGGCGATTAAATTGTGATTACTGATGATTAAATGATGGTTAATGGTAATTTAATGGTTAATGGTGATTAAATGGTGATTAATGATGATCAAATGATGGTTAATGGTGATTAATGGATGGTTAGTGGGGATTATTATGGATTAATGATCATGAATGATGGATAATGGTGATTAATGGTGATTAATGATGGTTAGTGGGGATTAATTTGGAATAATGATGATTAATGATGGATAATGGTGATTAATGGTGATTAATGGATGGTTAGTGGGGATTATTATGGATTAATGATCATGAATGATGGATAATGGTGATTAATGGTGATTAATGATGGTTAGTGGGGATTAATTTGGAATAATGATGATTAATGATGGATAATGGTGATTAATGATGATTAATGATGGTTAGTGGGGATTAATATGGATTAATGATGATTAATGATGGCTAATGATGATTAATAATGACTAAATGATGGTTAATGGTTGATGATGGGCGAATGATGATGGGAAATGATGATCAAATTGCCATTACTGCTGGTTTAGATTGTTTAGTCTCACTTACTAAGTGGTTGAATCACCATTATTAATAATTAAATCGGGATTTATGATGATTAATCATGATTCATGATGGTTAATGATGAGTAATGACAGTAATGATGATGAAATGATGATTGATTGATGATTGATTGATAAGGGTTTACCATGATTTACCCTCTGGAAATGACCAATGCTTTGCGAACTGGAAAATCACCATTCTTAAGAGACAAATCATCGAGCTCGACGGGCCATGCTAGGCACCCAGCATCATCCAGCTACGCATGGCTAGGCACAGTCGAGTGACAATTGTGACCTAACCAGGGCTATGAACCAGTTCCAAGTAGGACCATCCTCCAAGTCAAGTAGTCATCTGCGGGGGGGAAGCTGATTCTCCAGCAAAGAAACCATCTCAGGATTCCATGTCTGGCAGGGATCCTCCCTCAAGTTTGCTCGTGCTTGAGACATACCTCCGAAATGATGATTTCAGGGCCACAACTTTAAAGTACCAATATCTGTACCAACCACAGGTGGTAGTTTTGGCTGACCACAACTCGTCCCCTAGCCCTAGCCCTAGCCGTGCCTCTTCCAATGGCAATCCCCCGAGCAACTCGTCTTCGACCACCTTTCGAACCACTTCGAAGGGTAACGGATTCACCTAAACGAGCTGCGGACACACCCAGCACCCAGCAATTCTGGCCCTGGGTAACGCGACTCATACGCTCCTGGCATGTGCCCATGAAAATCCGAAAACAAAGTTGGAAGCCGATGAAAAAATGATGGAAATCACCTGGTTGGCTGAAATGATGCCCAAATATATCCTGTACACCACTTCTATCTTGTGCTGCTTGCTGAGCCAAGGCGACAACCCTCAAACCCGCATCGCCCAGTGGCAGAGTCGATCATGGAGGCGCACTGCCGCGAGTACTCCTGGGGGAAGAGGTCGCTTCGCGTAGCAATGACCTGCCCCACCTTCCTCAGTTCATAATGTGCAGGAGAACGTGCAAATGACTGGGCCCATGGCCATGGCAACCCAAACTGTGGGCCACCAATGACCCGCCATCGGCCATCGATGGTCACGGTCATTTTCCGGAACTGAAGCCAGTGGGAAGATGCCTCGAAAGGCTCTAAAACCGCAAAGTTTTGAATGCATTCAAATGCTGTATATAGGAATTACCCTCCAACGGGGGCCGAACCAAACAGCTTCAGGCGCCATGAGATTTTTTATCTAATCTTCAGAATCTTACCATGGTTGTACTGTTGCAGAACGTGCCAAAAATTGGATCTAAACAAGGAAATCAGATACGGAAGAACGATCTTGCACGCTCCCGTATCCTCACGGAAGACTCCTGGGTTCTGAGAGAAACTCGCTGGTGGCGCCTTTCTGTGTAAAAGGTCAGTACACAGAGGTAATTTCAATAAGACTAACCCAAAAAACAGCCCTTTCCGTCCAGCAGTTCCAGCCTTCAAAGCTCTGGGATAGCCAAGACTCACATAGAAACCCTTCAGTTCGTTGATCAAATCTCTGATGGTCTTAGCACCAGCTTCGTGCCTGCATCGCACCGGGGATCCAAATCCAGCACTGCCAGTTAAGGCGAAACAAGAATAGTCAGGACTTAGAGAGAAAGGGGTTTAAGGCAATGGTGGCACCGATTGGTCATGTTTGGTATTTACCATCTTCACTCTGAATTCAACAAGCCTTCACTTCAATATCTTCAGCCTCTCTGATCTGGCTAGCCGAGTGAGGTGTTGCGAGGATGTTTGAACAAACACCATATTTGGAGAAGTTCAACACATGGTCAATATATATATATATATCCGATTAAATAATCCCACCCAATTCAACAGTCAATAGTGCAAGCGAGAGGATGCCCTACCTAAACATTCAAATTGTGATTTTGTTGCTGTTGCTGTTGGTGTTGATGTTGATGATGTTGATATTGTCGTTGTTTTTTGTTGATGATGACGACGACAATGAAGACAGTTGATGACCATCTTCGCTACTTGTCGTCGTCACGCAGCAGCTGCACCCAACCCCATCTCCCACCTTTCAGACCACTGCGCCTCGAGAGCACCTCGAAAGCGACAGGCTGGTAGTGGATTGGTTGAGAAAATCGTCTGCCCACTGGGCTGGCCATAAATTGGGTGTCCCCAATTTTTCGGACCCCAAAAAAGGGCTTCTGAGCATCAAAAATTGGACGGTTTGCTGCAAACTGTCCCACCAATTCGTGGAAAATCCCTGCTTGATTGACTGGGTTTAGTCAGATTTAGTCAGGACCATGGTGCTTGATACTCCGTGGCTTTGCATGGAATGCCCTGGTCAAAAGTCCCAACATGTCCCAAACCCCTCCCTTCAAGCAATTCCTTTTGGGCCGCCAGTAGTGGGTAAAAAATCAAACACTTCATACCCACTGGATTCCCTCCTCAAATACCCTCTGGGAATGTAACCTAGCAATGGGATTAAAAGAAAGTTTTTCCAAGAGGAATATCATTTATCCATCTATCTTTTTTGTTAAATCCAATCCATCCAACCTATCTGATTAGCGCCATGGATTTTCCCTCGCCGTAATCCGACCTTCGTCGGAATGCTCCGAAGACATTGCGCTTCGTAGGTACACGGGGATGTAACCTGAGGAAACGCGCTTTGTGCGGAGAAATGTTTCTGTGTCTGTGCATTCATTGATTGATTTGCCCATTTGTCTATATGCACATATTCATATATGTATATACATGCATACAAGCATATAAATATGTGGGTGTGTGCATTGCTGTGTGTGTGTGCATGGCTGTGTGTGTATGTATGTGTGTATGTATATATATATATACATGCATAAATGCATAAACATATGTATGTATATATATATATATACATATATGTGTGTGTACATATATATATATGCACATATATATAATATACATATACACATATATACAAATATGTGAATTCCAGGAATAACCTTGTCTACATGTCTGTGTCTTCAGCTTGCCATTCGATTGTGTTCTGTAGGGGTTCAGATGCAACAGACTGAAACGTCTGCCATCTTTGTTACTTGGTGGCTCAAGGCCACATTTCAGGAACCGGGAGAAAAACGCTGCTGCTAGCGCCATTGGTGGAGCTTGGAACGTGGGGACACGTTGGTTTATAGGTGAAAGAGAAACAAACATCTGTTGAGGCCAACATCAACCTTTTCCTATCAGTTTGGGACTGTTTGGATACTTTTGGAACTATATCCTTGAGGACAAGGGTTACCAGGTTTTGGAGTTGGAAGCTACCAGTGTGCTTGGGGACATACTGGCCCCTTCACACTGGTAGCGGAGCCTACGGGCTCGTGCTACCATAGGCACGAAAAGCCGCAACTGAGGGTCCCAGTTTGGAAACTAGCAGAAGGATGTCAGAAAGTTCCTCAGAGGAAAAGACAGCTGCTGCAGGGCTATGGAGCCAGTTACCAAGCTTCGATCCCAGCGTAGATGATATCAGAGAGTTCACCCAGAAGGTCAGGTTCCTCCACGGTGTCTTCCCGGCCAAAGACATAGGCAATCTCGCGCCTAGGTTGGCCATGATGTGTCGTGGAACAGCCTGGAGCCAAGTGAGACAATTGGATCCAACCAAGTTGACCGACCCCGACGAAGGTGTCAACTACCTGTTGGATGCACTCAGTATGTGGGAAGAAACCTCAGAACTGAAAACCTTTGAGCTCTTTGAGAAAGCTTTGTATAAGGTGGTTCAAAAGAATGACGAGGCAAATCACAGTTATGCACTCCGTCTTCAAGCAGCCTTCAACGACCTTGGGGACAAGGTCTCAGTCAAAGATATGCAGGCGTTTGTGCTGCTCCGACAGTCCGGGCTCACGAACGAAGACAAGAAGCGAGTCTTGTCGATGACTCAGGGCAAGCTGGACATCAAAGAGGTGGAGAAGGCCATGCGAAGCTTATCCACAAAGGTCTTGTTTAGCTCTGGGGACGTTCGCAAGAAGGTCTACCCGACAAACTATGTGGAGTCCGAAGAGAATGTGAGCCAGGTAGAAACAGAGCCACCCATGCAGAGCACTTACCACACCGTCACTGAGGAGGAGGATGCACTCTCCACCGAAGTTTTGGAACAAATGGTTCAACAAGGAGATGAAGACGCGATGGTGATTCAACAATTCGAGAGAGACTTTGAGGACATGATGCAAGAAGTGCCAGACTTGCAGTCGGCGCTCCTGAGTTACCAAGAGGCCAGGCAAAGAATCAACGACAGAAGGAGATCGAGAGGATTCTGGCCTTCCAAGAGCAAGGGCAAGGGCTTCAATCGAGATTTCCACCAAGGAAAAGGTCTTCGCAAAGGAGGAGCTCGCAGTGGCAAAGATGAGCTTCTCGCGAGAATCAGTCGAACACATTGCAAGAATTGTGGAGCTCTTGGACATTGGAAAGCTGAGTGTCCTTTGAAACGTGGTGACAACAAGGAGCAGGCCAACCTCGTGGTGATCGATCATCCAGAAGACGACCCTTCTGACCTTCCTCAAGTGATCTTTGAAGAACAGGAACCTGACCAGGCACGTATGGAAAGTTTTGAATGTTGCTTCGTTGTACATAGCAAAGCATCCGGTCCGACCATTGTCCATGGTGTACCTGTCCATGTCCGTCAAAATGCAGTCAAGTTCCTGGAATCACGCATGCATAAGTATCATAAGATGGGGATAGGTAAACATGGAGTTAAGGATAAACATGGGGTGAAAGAAAAGGGTTCAAAAGGGGAGCCACAAACCGCTGGCGTCGCCTTGAACAGGAAGACAGCGGTGCCAACCATGAGTCCGAAGATCCCCATCAATGAAGCAGAATGCCTGACAAGCCAGTCCGCGAGCCTGTCCATGAAGGCATCCGGCCTTGCGATTTTGGACACCGGAGCCAGTCGCAGTGTCATAGGATCTGAGCATGTTGCCGCGGTCCTGCAAAAGTTGCCTCCTACCGTCCAGTCTCAAGTCCGTGAAGTGCCGAGTAGGATTGGTTTCAGGTTTGGTAATAACCAGATAGCATATAGCTTCAAGCAGTTGCGTATACCCTTAGTGTATGGCAAACAAAAGATATGGCTGTTGATCGAAGTGGTGCCGAAAGCAACCCCTTTCTTGCTTTCGATCAAAACAATGAAAAGCCTGGGAGCCACGATTGACCTGGGAAAGAGCACATGTTTTCTGCAGAAGTTGAATCGATCTCTTCCACTGAAAGAGAATTCCAATGGATTGTTTGTGATTGACGTTGCAGATCTGTGCGAGCCAATCACTCATGTCACTGCAGCCGCTTTCTCTGTTTCAAGCAGTTGCCTGTCCGCACCACCAGGACTTGTACTTGCCGTTCCAAGTCAACATGCCGACGCGCCAAGAGATCCTCGAGGGGTTGAGAACACTCTCGGAGGAAGTGATGGAGAGCCTCAGGATCCTGTTCTACATGCTGTTTGCCCTGACCCGTGCAATCAACCCAAACGAGAATGTCACCGAAGCCGAGGTGAATCCGATCTATCGCCTGATCGAAGAGGTGAAGAGCCAAAGGCAGAAGATCAGCGAATTGGGGAACATCATTGCGAACAATTTTCTGGGCCCTCAGAATCGATCCAGTGGACCGTCGTCACCAACACCAGGAGAAAGTTCCGACATCTGGGAACTGATGGAAGAAGAGTTGAACAACAATCAAGGTCTGGAACCAGCAGCCATGATTGGACAACAGGTCCAAAGTTCTTCCTTGCCGATGCCGCCGACAACAACGACTCCAATGAGCCTTCGTCCAGTGGAAGTGCCTCCAGCCAAGATCGCTGGAATTCCCATTGCCAAGACCCGAGCTCCAACTGCAGCCGCAGCAGGAGCCAGCAATCCTGCCGTGGAGCCCAACCATCAACTCGCTCACACTCAACAAACACTGATCAGTTGGGGTCAAAAGCGAATCACATGGGGCAAGAAGCACGCCGGAAAGTGCTATCAGGAGACCTACGATTTCGATCAAGGGTATGTCCGATGGGTTCTGGCACGAGTGGGAAGTTTGGGCGAGGACATCGAGGACTTCGGGAACTATTCACTGACCCGTCGTCGACTGGAAGAAGCCTCACTGAATGTCAATCGAGCGTAGGAACATGGTGTCCCATTCCTGACAGCCGTCCTGCCAGAGTAGAAAGGGTCAATAGTGCTATCACCACCGAAGAAGGTATTTGGTTGAAAGAGGTGTGCAAGCTGATTCAAAAGGGTAAAAACAATTGTCCTCAACTAGACATATTGGAAGTATATGCATATCCAAACAGTCAGCTGACCAAAGTAGCTCACGCATGTGGTCTAAAAGCAAGACGTTTTACACGCGAAGACGGAGACCTGTCGACGGCAGAAGGCAGAACAAATCTTCTGCTGCACGTTTTGCTGTACAGACACAAGCACTTGTGGCTGTCCCCGGAATGTGGTCCATGGTGTGCATGGAATAGGTTCAACGCTGCCAGAGGATTAGGTTCCTTTTCCCATGTCAAACATGTCCAAGATGAAGCCAGAGTTCATCTTCGCCTGTGTAACCTGTTGGCCAAAATTCAGCTCCAAGAAGGAAGACACATTCACCTGGAAAATCCTTGGACATCAAGTATGTGGGATCAAAAGGAACTTCGAGAGTTTCTGCAGTCAACCGTGGCAGCACGTTTGGATCAGTGCATGTTTGGTTTGAAACACCCAGAAACTGCAGAGGCTATGCAAAAGAAAACACGTGTTCAAACATCTTCCCGACAGATGTTTTTAGCACTAGATCAGAGGGTTTGCAGTCATGACCACAAACATGTACAGATTGCCGGATCCTGCCACTGGAGGGGTAAAACCATACCACTGTCACAGTTTGCGGGGAACTATCCTAAGCAATTTGCCAAAGCCATTATTAAAGGGGTAATATCATGTAAAGAAGGTCCCATAATATGTCCAGCCTATCATATTGAAGAAGATGAAATACAAGAACCACCTGCCAAGAAAGCTAGGGCCGAATATGAGATGCCTGTCTCCATAGAGGAAGATCATGCACAGGACACTACGTGTTGGGAAGAGGTCTTTCAAGAACTTCAGAAAGAGTTGCCCAAGTCTGGAATCAAAACATGGACCAATCCTCAACATGCCGTTTTCCAATCCGTGCAGAGCAGAATGCCCGAACTTTCAGTCGGCGCTGTGAAGGCTGGTAAGGGCCTCGAACGACACATCGCACCCGAAGCTGGCTGGGAGGATGAACTGCCAATCAGACAGACAGTGCTACTGAGACGTTTCTCGTCACAGATAGAGAAGTTGTCAGCCGAAGATTGGACACGTCTTACCAAAGCTCAACAAAGAAGACATGCAAAGCCCAGTCATATAATGATTTGTGTTTTTGCCAGTGCCCAGAAACGTTCAGCGTCCGATGGAGACCGACCGGGATCCAATGCACTGTCACTTGACCAAGCTGTACATCCGAAAGCCGATACAGACACAGCGGTTCAGGAGATCTCTCCTCCTGTGCCTGTCAATCCAGTAGATGTTCCGACATGGACACCAGTTTCAGCCAGTGTCTCCGGCCCAAAGTTTTTGGAACTATCCGATGCTGACCAAGGCACCATCCGAAAATTGCACACCAACTTAGGACATCCGACAGCAGAGAAACTGGCGAGACATTTGTC